ATATGTATATATATATATAATTAAAAATAAGTACTTATATTTAAAAAATGACTAAAATATCTTCTATTGATAATAATAATCCCGTTTTTAATCCTGTCAAATTCATTCAACGGGAACGTGAAGCTTCGAAACTAAATATCGATCAAATTAATACTTTTTTAGAATCTACATCCGAAAGACGTGATTTAACTCATAGATTAATAAATGAAATTACTAATGATAGAATCTTAGAGACTGATTCATCTTATTATGATTTAAATAAATCACAACAGCGTGAAATAACTGCTAATAAAATTGCAAGGTTAGCATTATATATGGAACATGATATTAAAACAGCACGTAATAATTTTGAAAATAAAAATTTAATTCAAGATTTACAAAAAAATAATGGTAAAGAGCCATTGTTATCAAGTTCAGATTTTACAATTTTTGATAAAAGACTTTCTTTAATTGCTAATATTGATCCACAATTAAGTACACGTGTTGGTGTACATTTAGGATTATTTGGTAATTGTATTAAAGGTAATGGTACAGATGAACAAATTACATATTGGTTACAAGAACGTGGTGCTTCGATGATACGTGGTATTTATGGTTGTTTTGCAATGACTGAATTAGGTCATGGTTCTAATGTTGGTCAATTACAAACCACTGCAATTTTTAATGAATCTAATAACACTTTTACAATTAATACTCCAAATTTAACAGCAACAAAATGGTGGATTGGTGGTGCTGCTCATTCTGCTACTCATTCTGTTGTCTATGCAAGACTTATTGTTAAAGGTAAAGATTATGGTGTTAAGACATTTGTTGTTCCATTGAGAAATACAAAAACATTTCAGTTAGAAACAGGTGTAGTTATTGGTGACATTGGAGCTAAAATGGGAAGAGATGGTATCGATAATGGTTGGATTCAATTTAATAATGTTATAATTCCAAAAGAAAATTTGCTTTGTAGATTTATTCAATTAACTAATCAAGGTAATGGTGATGTTACAGTTAAAGTACAACCACAATTGGATCAAATTTCAGGTTACAGTGCTTTATTAAGTGGTCGTGTCAATATGGTTATGGATTCATTTAGATTTGGTTCAAAATTTGCTACAATTGCCACTAGATATGCCGTTGGAAGACAACAATTTGCTTCAAATAAAGATGGTAAAAATTCAAATCAAGAAGAAGTTCAATTGATTAATTATCCCCTACATCAGTATAGGATTATTCCTCAATTAGCACTTGTATATTTAATTTCTCCTGTGGCATTTAAATTGATGGATACCTATTATGAAACTTTAGATGAATTATATCGTGTATCAACAGCTAAGGATAATAATGCTTTAGTTACTGTTAGTGCCAAATTAAAGAATTTATTCATTTCAAGTGCAAGTTTAAAGGCAACTAATACATGGTTTGTTGCTCAATTAATTGATGAATTAAGGCAAACTTGTGGTGGTCATGGTTATTCTCAATATAATGCATTTGGTAAAGGTTATAATGATTGGGTAGTTCAATGTACATGGGAAGGTGATAATACTGTACTTTCTTTAACCTCGGCTAAATCAATTTTAAAGAAATTTGGTGATGCTGCCCAAAAGGGTAAATTTGATTCAAAGCTTGATGGTGATGAATTTGGTTATTTGGATCCAAGTTTTATTGCTGAAGTTTATACTAATCAAGTTACAGCAGATATTAGTGATGATTCTAATTTAGAAAGTTTTATTCAAGTTTGGGCAATTTTATTAGTTAAATCACTTGTACACATTGGTAAAGCATTGAAAAAAAATAATGATATTGATAGTTTATCAAAATTATTAGTTCAAATTTCAAGATTTCATGCAATTTATTTAATGTTGAAAACATTCCATGAAAAATTAGAAAATGATAAAGAATCACATATTACTGATGAAGTTACAAAAGCTACCATGTGGAATATTTTCCGTTTATTTTCTGTCTATTATATTGACAAATATTCTGGTGAATTCTTACAACTAAAATTGTTTAAAGCAGATGATATCTCTAATGTGATTCAGCCAAAATTATTTAAATTGATGGCAATAATTAGAACTGATTGTATAGCCTTAGCTGATGCTTTTGAATTACCAGATAATATGTTGAATGCTCCAATTGGATTCTTCGATGGAGATATCTATCATAATTACTTTAATGAAGTCACTAAAAATAACCCTCAAGAAACTAATGGTGCTGGTATACCACCTTATTATATGGCGTTGACGTCTATGCTTTCCAGAGAATAATATAATCTCTTTCTTCCCTTTTTTTTGACCCTTTATATGTTTTCCAAATGACTTAATAAAATGCAGGAGATTGAGTTGTTTGCCTTTTTTTTCTTTCAGTTAGTTCCCCTATTCTTTGTTGTTTTTTTAATGTTCTTTTTACATTAGGGGAAGGGTACGTCTACTACTTCACCATTAACCAAAAAAAAAATATCTTTTCCAATTTTGGTGAAAAATTATTCTCTCTATCTATCATTTTCTTAAGTGTATAACATATTATGTATATTCTATGTAAGATAACAAAATAGTAATCATAATAATAATAATAATAATAATAATAATAATAATAATAATAATAATAATAATAATAATAATAATAATAATAATGGTAATAATACTTACTAACTCTTCGAGCAAGAATGGATGTTCAAGGTGTTCTACAATGCTAATTGAATAACGTTACTTCCAATTACTGACCTGTCATCGACAAAAAAAGAGTAATTTCCTTTTTAGGTGTTGTCACTGACAGTCACTACGTAAATATGTATAAATTTAATCAACGTTTTTTATTCTTAATTCACATGTCTCACATAAAATACCATCATATTACGCACTAACTTGGTAATTAATCACAAAAGAAAATCCAAATCCGCTCTGCCAATCTAAAGTAGAAAAAAATTAAGTTTATGACAACACACAGCGCCGTGTCGCCGTAGTTTTGTTTGGTCTCTCTGTCTGCCTTCTCAGCGCCGTGAATGTGATAATTTTTCTAATTTCATTACGCTGGTTTATTTGTTATTTTATTTGTTTTACCCAAGGGATGGATGGATGAGCGTAAGAAAATTTCTTTAAATACCTTTATATATATATATAAATAGAAGAAGTATTAAATCATAATTCTTGTGTTCTTCTCTTTGATTTCTTGAGATATTGGTAGTCGGTAGAAGAAATATATAGTTTTAGTTAATACCACGACTAATTAAATAAAAAAATATTAGTAATATCATAATGGTTACCGCAGACGAAAGAGAAGCTTTATTAAATCCACTAGAACATGAAAGAAAGCATAGATTTTCTATAAGTAATGAAAGTGACAGTGATACTGAACAAGAACAAGATGACGATGTTGAAAGAGTATTAAGTAGAAAGGCATCTAGTATATTTTCTATCGATACGAAACCTTTAGCGCCACCAAATAGAAATGATATTGAAGCTTTTACTTCTGATAAATATCATTTTAGTATGATTAGAAATTTACATATGGCAGATTATATTACTATGTTAAATGGTTTCTCTGGTTTTTATTCTATTGTAAGTTGTTTAAGATTTACATTGACAGGAAAACCTCATTATGTTCAACGTGCTCATTTTTTCATTATTTTAGGTATGTGTTTTGATTTTTTGGATGGTCGTGTTGCTAGATTAAGAAATAGATCATCTTTAATGGGACAAGAATTAGATTCTTTAGCTGATTTAGTCTCATTTGGTGTAGCTCCTGCTTCTATTGCTTTTGCTATTGGTTTTCAAACAACTTTAGATGTTGTAGTATTGTCATTCTTTGTACTATGTGGTTTAACAAGATTAGCAAGATTTAATGTTACTGTAGGTCAATTACCAAAAGATGTTAAAGGTAAATCTAAATATTTTGAAGGTTTACCAATGCCAACTACTTTATTTTTAGTATTTATTATGGCATATTTAGTTAGAGAAAATTTAATTATGACTAATTTACCATTGGGTATTATTAGAGATGGTTTAATTGGTGAATTCCATCCATTTATTTTGATATTCTTCATTCACGGTTGTGGTATGATCTCTAAGAGTCTAAAGATTCCAAAGCCATAATCGCATAAAAAAATAATTAAATAAAATGAATTATTATTATTAGAAAGTGTAAACCCTTTTTGTTAAATAAGTTTTCTTTTTTTTTTATTTTATTTTTTTTGGGTGGGAGAGAGAAGAAATTAAGAAAAAAAAATTATCTGTCTTTTTGTTTTTATATTAGTTCGAATACTTTTATTCTTCTTTTACATATATAAATATATCTATATCTGTCTTTCAGTATATCCTTTTTGTACATATAATTATCATTATCATTTTCCCAAATTTAAGATAATTGAATTCATAATGCCAGGAATGCCCATGGTTCGTTTTGTAATTGTGATAATTTGACAAAATTTTTATATGTGTTCTTTTATTTTTTTGGTCATTATAAAATCTTAAAGAAATAGTATCAGTAGCAGGTAATAAAATAAGAACGTTTCTGAATGATATCAGTACTTTACCTTTTTATTTTGCTGTCTCTTTCTTTAACAAACTAGTTTTAATTGTAAATATTATATATGTTAAACTTCAAAATACAATGTGTTTCACACAATTCAAATTGTTAGTAAAAAGCTAGTTTATTAAGGACCCAAATTAACTCCGCAATACTGAGTAAAAAAATCAAAAAAATCAAAGTTGAACTTTTTCGGCGGCTAAATCGGTTAAACGCCGTTCAAAAAAGAAATGTGCCACCTCCTGGAATCGAACTAGGATTTCATCGGCCACAACGATGTGTACTAACCATTATACTAAGATGGCATCAAATGGTTGAAATAATTGTCGAATATTTTATATTATTAGATAATTGATACTTTAAAATTTATTTCTCTAACAGGTTAAAACTTCAATTTACCGAGGTATTGGATTGCCTTATTCGAAGAATTCATTTCTTTAAATGATTTATCAATAGTAGTGATTTCCAATTATAATAAAATATCGTCGATTGCATTGAATTTTTCATGAAAACTATGAGTATTAAAACTATATAATAATCACCAATTATTTGTCGAAGATTCTCGAACTAATCTTAAAAAATACAAGTATTATAAATCTAATTATAGTGAATTAAATTAAATATGTCTGTTGCAATTTTTAAGCTGGGTTACTCGAAATATAATGGAAAACTATCACGTGGAGTATTTCTGCTCATTCCATCAGTTTTATATGCCATGCATTATCCACTTTCCGTTCCTATTATAGTAAATGTGAGACAACCTTGGCACTACTTTGATATATTATTAGTTGTCAAGCTTAGTACGAATTGCCTACTAATTATAATCATATACAACGGAACTCTCTGGAATGTCATGGAATGAGAAGGCCACGGTATATTGCAAAAATATGGACGAGATTATCCAATGAGTTTTACATCCACAATGGTAGAAGGTTAGTAAATGTAAGGAGTGGTTGTTTGCAAATGAAATGATTTATTCCTCATTTTCACTTTAATAATTTCATAATTTATCCATAAAGAACTAACATATATATATATATGTAATGTCATACCTCCAGTGCAGTATATACAAAAGGTATACCGCGTTCTCACCAAGTGTCAGTTCAACATGGGTTGTGAATGACTACACAAGTACCTACCTATGATATGAACTATATGGTTTTAAAAAACAAAATTAAAAAAGATCTAAATATTAGTTTAAATATTTGCGTGCATAGTTTCTGTATAATGGTATTAAAATGGTTGTTCTAAGGAGATCTCAATACCTGCTGTTCTCCCACATGTTCGGGACTGGTAGATCCTTCTCCAATATCTAATTCGGATACGTCTGAATTAGAATCACTCTCATTCTCTTCAAGATTTTCCTGGTCAAATTCTTCATCGGTGTCATCTATTTCAAAATCTTCATCAGCATTCATGTCACCTAATTCGAAGTTCATTTGAGGGTTGGCTTCATCTGCCCAGGTAACTGTCTTGTTTGGATTGTTATCAAGCCTACTATATGCTCCTCCGAATTGTGAGGATACCTTCGGCCACCAACGATCCAAAGTTCTTATTGCAATAACACCAATGAATAGGATGACGAAGAAAGAAGTGAAAATGATAGCTCTGTGGCTATCATAATCGTCAAGTCTTAACATTGCATCGTCGTCATCCTCATCATAATCCTCATCCTTATCATAATAGTAGTAGTAGTAGTAACGTTGAGAATCATCATCTTTTTCTTCGTCATTATCATCACCTTGTTTTATTTTCTCCGGTTCTTCATTTTCGTGATCATCTTCATCATCATCGGCATCATCCTCATCAAAGAAATCCTCGTTATATGGTTTTTCTGAGCTCACCAGTACTTGTCTTTTACCAATAGATTCCAACAATACGTTATCTAGAATGATATCGACAATACCGGTACTGATTACTGGCTTATCGTGTGGAACCATGTGTGATGCATTATAGACACTAATAAAAGTCAGATTTCTGTCATAGACTACGTAACCAGCTGCAACATCAGTATCACGTTTAGTTTGTTGTCTGAATATCCAGTCATAATTCTCTGCGTTGTCTGAAAAGCCTAATTGGTCACCCCATTTCATACTCTTAATCATATCTGTAATACCTCTGTTATTACAGATAAGGTCCTTGTCACCATTAAATAATACAACATTTAGACCTCTTTCTAACAAACCAGGTAAGAACTCTATAGATGGTTTGGATCCCTTATTCGACATATGGTTCATTACGTCCTTGCGGCATTCGATCCAGTTCTCTGCCGCCCATTCCTCATTTATATTAAGAGCATCTCTTACGTTTTTGTCGCCAAAGAATTGGGCCACATAAGAGACATCAGCAGGCCAATTCATACCGCATGCAGGCATGGAGTCCTTCAATTCGTAGTTATATACATTCAAACATTGTTCATTGTTATCATCATCACGAGTCTTTGTTACGGATATTAATTGGTTGATGATATTGTCACATTCAGGTATTGAGAATTGTTCATCATCATTTTCATTTTTGGTGTTTATCTTTTTCTGACAATCTTCATGTGTTTTCAATAAATTATTAAATCCAGGTGTATCTTGATTAACCAAATTATTGTCAATAGCGAATGGTAAATAAGCTAGTGATTGAGTCACTGGGTCAATCCAACCATTTCCTATTAATAATGCAGCTAAATTAAAATGAGGCATATTTTCTTGCAATTCAGGGTGTTGTTCATAATTTAATATTACAGTAGCAATATGAGGAATATATTGACCTGCATAACTTTCCCCAGCTAAAATTATTTTTTTATTTATATCCTGAGGGAAAGCTTTGAAATAATTAATTAAAAATTGACAGAAATGTAATGCAACATCTTCCAAATTATCATCAAGAGGTATGGTATTCTCATTAGAACCTTTTTTAATAGCTGAAAATCCAGTTCCAGCTGGTTGGTCCACGAAGACCATATCTGCACGAGATGCCCATGAGTTCTGATTTAGATATGCATTTCCTTTATCATCGATTCTTAATGGGCCAGACTCTACCAATGCACCATCCATTGAGGAACATCCAGGGCCACCATTTAACCAAAAAATTAATGTTCCTTCATTATTATCATCATTGTCATCATCATCATCATCATCCCATGGTAAGGATTTGTCATGAAACCTCCAAAAAAAGTAACCAAAATCTTCCGGAACTTTTTTATCTTCTGTATCCCATCCAAATAGTGGAATATGTCCAGCATACATCTCTGGAATACTCTTAGAATCCGTTATCTTTGAAAGGCCAGGAATTTGTTCATAATTTACTTTAAAATTATCAGAGTCCAGCGTTTCGTTATCATCATCATCATCATCATCATCTCGTTTGAGTAATATAGTATTTCTCTTGGAAACATGATTCTGCGGAATAATTAGTGCATCTACAGCTATGAAAGTTGAAAGACAAAACCAGAAGTAAGCACTTCTTAATGTAAGACGCATGGTTCACTATAAAAGCTAAAACAAAATAGCAATCGACAGTAAAACAAATATGTAAATTAGATCCCTATTCGGAAGTACTTCAATCTTAATTTATCGCCAGTACATCAAACTGGTAAACTCCCGTTAAAAATAAACTATGTATCTTGAGAATATAGATATCAATATATGTATATATATACATTATCTCAGCCAATTAGGCCATTTGGGAATCAATTAGCACATCAAAAAGTGATGTTTTCCGTCAAAATGAGCCAAAATTAAAAATGAAGATAAAAAACGCCGCGTTATAATTTATCCGGGTCGCGGTATTAATTTTATCAGCAAGGGACTTTACTGTCATTTTTCTATTTTGTAAAGGTTCAAATGGAAAATGGTTTATGAATAAAATAAATTCATATATATATATAGATATAATTGTAAAATATATGTGTATGTTGCATATACGTCTTGTCTGGAATTAATTTAAGTAGCGTGTCAAGCAATTGGCTAAAGTGTAAGATATGTATATATGTATATGTTATATATGGGTTTTGCGTTCTTTAAAATTATTAATAACCTTGATAAAGTTGTTAACTTATAGAAGGTAGAGTCGTTATACTTCTTCTAACTTTGCCTATAATATATGTGTGTGTATGTGTGTTTCTTTCTTTCTTTTTTTATATTTTGGTGAAAATAGAATTTTATCACTTTTAAAGTTTTGTTTACATAAGGTAATATTTATGGACCATTCAGAACAGACATTAAAGCTAAAAAAAGAAACTAATGAAAATATTTTTGTACCTTTTTTGGAGAGGATCGAGTTTAACATTTCCACATCTACAAACGAGTAATACGAAAACATACACAGTATTACAATAGTGCAGATATCTTATTTTTTTTAAATAGTTTTCCATAGAATCATAATTAGTTATCAAGTCAATAGCGAACAACAAAACCAAATATCTGTATTGTTCTCTTTACAATACATATATGCCTATAGTTAAGAGAATCGAATGACACTTTATGTTACTCCAGGATACCGATAAATAAAATACAAGATAAGAATATTAAGTATATACAAAAGAGCTGTGATCTGTCAACGTCGCTCCTCTCAACAGACAAACGATACCTTATCATGACAAAAATTTCAGCATCAGTCTACAAGCTATCACTATCTATCTATCAAATATAGATATATCTGTATCTATATCTAGTTCCATTTGAGACACACACACACACACATACGTTTGCCCTCTACCCTTCCCGTGAATTACCGGCCATCCACTACCTTCTGGCAACAGAAACCACATCACTCAACACGAACCGAATTACTCATAATTCATTTACCGAATCACATAATCTCGGCTTCCCGCTTCTCCCTCTCCCCCGCGGTGTTCAACGACAAAATTTGCTCTCTGTTCTTCCTTTTTTGTATATTTAAAAGCGTAACAGGTAAAAAGAAATATATATAGATGCACGATGACTAAATCGCACCGGAAAACTGAAAAATTATTGCTTTATTGCTTTAAATCACAGAAATTTTTCAGTTTTTGCAATATCTGTCAGGTAAATAAATATTAAACATATTAAAGATATTGAAAGTTTCACCCGTTTTACTTAGTAAAAGAACGATTAAGATTACAAAATATATATTCTCATATCTCTTAGTGAGTATTAATTGACATATACACACATATTTTTTTTTGGTTTTTTCCTACATTCAATTACGCTTATCGTAACTTATATACTTCATACTTTTTTTTTCTTTATATATATACGCTCTCGAATTTTTTATTTTTTTAGATTTCTTTCTTTCTTTAACTTGCTTAAAACTTAAGGTACTATTTTAACTCTCTCTATATATTTTAGTTAATACTCTTTTTCTCTCTCATTTATTTAACTAAAACTATCACTCCACACTACACCTCGAACAACCGAATTAATAATGACTTTGCCTGAATCTAGGGATTTTTCCTACTTATACTCTGAAGAAACTAAAGCACGTAAACCTTCTCCATTAAAGACATGTATTCATTTATTCTCTGATCCAAATATTATCTTCTTAGGTGGTGGTTTACCATTATCTGATTATTTCCCATGGGAAGATCTTGAAGTTAATTCTCCAAAACCACCTTTCCCAAATGGTATTGGTGCACCAATTACCGGAGAAAATGTTATGCAATCTCATATTACTAAATTAGAAAAACTTCATGAAGGTGATATTCCATTAGCTCGTTCTTTACAATATGGTTTATCTCAAGGTCAACCTGAATTATTAAATTTCTTAAGAGAACATAATAAATTAATTCATGATATGCATTATGAAGATTGGGATGTTTTAGCTACCGCTGGTAACACTAATGCTTGGGAATCTACTTTAAGAGTCTTTTGCAACCGTGGTGATGTTATCTTAGCGGAAGCTCATTCTTTCTCTTCTTCATTAGCTGCTGCTCAAGCTCAAGGTGTTACTACTTTCCCTGTTCCAATTGATGAAAACGGTATAATTCCAGAAAAATTAGAAAAGATTTTAGATAATTGGACTGAAGGTGCTAAAAAACCAAAATTATTATATACTATTCCAACTGGTCAAAATCCAACTGGTACTTCACTTGATGATGATAGAAAACATGAAATTTATAGAATTGCACAAAAACATGATTTCTTAATTATTGAAGATGAACCTTACTATTTCTTACAAATGGGTGAATATATTAAAGATTTAACCATTAGAAAAAATAAATCCACCAATGTTAAATTGGTTCATGATGAATTCTTAAAGTCTTTAGCCAAAACTTTCTTATCTATTGATACTGAAGGTCGTGTCATTAGAATGGATTCTTTCTCTAAAGTCTTAGCACCAGGTACCAGATTAGGTTGGATTACTGCCTCTAAGAAGTTATTAAAACCTTACTTATCACTACATGAAATGACTATTCAAGCTCCTTCCGGTTTCTCTCAATCATTAATTTCTGGTCTATTGAACAGATGGGGACAAAAAGGTTACTTGGACTGGTTACTAGGTTTACGTCACGAATACACTATTAAGCGTGATAATGCTATTGATGCTTTATACGAGTATGTTCCACAAAACCCCGCTTTCACCATCAACCCACCTATTGCCGGTATGTTCTTCACTGTTAACATTGATGCTTCTGTTCACCCTGAATTTGCCACCACTTATAAGTCTAATCCAGCTGCTGTCGAACAACATTTATACGAAAAGGTTATAGAAAGTGGTCTATTAGTTGTTCCAGGTGCTTGGTTTATCACTGAAGGTAACACCGTCCCAGCTCAACCAGCTTCTTCTACTGAAAATAACACTCCAAATGAAATTTTCTTTAGAGGTACTTACGCTGCTGTCTCTGCAGAAAAATTGAGAGAAGGTCTAAAGAGATTGGGCGATATGCTTCACAAGGAATTCCAAGTTTAAACATGTTCCTAAACACGTCTATTGAATATGACGCCGAACTCATAAGTAACGTTTACTCTCTGTATATCTAAAATTTTCTCTCAAATACATAACTCAAGTATTTTTTTTATTTAACTATTCATGATATTTTATCTCTTCTTGTTTTTTTTTTAAAAAATTTATCTTCTTAATAATAATATTACATTTTGTGTATTAAACTATCTACATAACTAGGTAATTCTTCAATCCATTGGTGTTTGAGGTTCCAAAGTATCCAACATTTCACAGTTTGGATGAATAACATAAACTGAATCACCACTGTTATTATCACTTTCAACAGATGGTCTTCCAAAATCACCTTCATCAAAAGCCCCACCTGGTAGATCCTCTCTAGTTCCACGAATTTCCATTAAAATACGATCCTTTACTAATCTTTTCAACACTTTGAAACACAACTTTCTTTCATCCCAGTATTCACTTTCAGAGTTCAAGTCATCTTCCTTCTGTATCAAGTACCAATCGACAATTTCATTTGCTGTTAACTCTTTAGACTCTGATTTTTCAGAGTCTGCAATTTTGTGGACTATTAGGTTCATGATTGAGACGTATTTCTCATATGTAATAGTTGTCTTCTTAACAGGAACTTCTGCAGCATTCCCACCCGCAACAGCAGAAGCAGCAACAGCAGCAGTTGCAGCAACGGTTGTGGAATCCTGTTCTGCATTTCCTTGACCTTGGTTTTCTTCATTTTCATCATCTGGAACTTCGATATCATCAACATCGACACGAATAATACTTTGCCTTAATAAATCGTAGGCTTCGGCTACAAAGGCTGGTGTGATTTCATCAACACAATTGGCACGTGCAATAGCCTCTGATAATCTTACCATACTTTCTAATTGTCTAACTGTTATTCTATAACTTGATTTACTATAGCCTTGTGCATCATCCTTTCTCAGTTCCTTGTATTTTTCAACTAAATATTCACCAGCTTCTTTTGTCAAGATTGGTTTAAAAGTTCTGGCATATCTAATATAACGACTCAATTGTTCTCTACTATACGGGGATGTAATTGCATCGTCTCTCTTCATATGTAAATCAACGATATGGGCTGCAAGTTCAGTATCAATTTTTTCATTACAATCATCAAGAACAACGAAAAACATATCGAATCTTGACATAATTGGTGCAGTCATATTTAAGTTACCTCTTAACGATAGCTTTCTATTATATCTACCTCCAATTGGGTTAGCAGCAGCCAATATAGATGTTCTTGCATTCAATGTAGCGTGAATACCAGCCTTAGCAATAGATATGGTTTGTTGTTCCATTGCTTCGTGAATAGCAACTTGATCTGATATATCCATCTTGTCAAACTCATCAATACAACAGATACCATTATCAGCTAGCATCAACGCACCGGCCTCAATAGTATAATCACCACCCTCTTCGTCTCTGACGACTGCCGCTGTCAAACCAGCCGCTGAAGAGGCCTTACCAGATGTGTAAATTGATCTAGGAGCGAACCCACACACATATTTCAAAAATTGTGATTTTGAGGTAGATGGATCACCTACAATACAAATGTTGATATCACCTCTCAATTTAATACCTTCAACAGTACTTTTATGGATACCACCCAACATTTGAAGTAATATACCTTTCTTTATAGATTCATGACCAAACACAGCTGGAGCAATAGATCTGACAAGTTTATCGTAAATATGTTCATCCTTCACCATTTCCTTTAATTCATTAATTTCTTCTGAATTCAAGCTGTTCAAGAAAACCTCTTGATCTCTTTCATCATTTTGGTACACATCTGTCCCTTGAAGACTGGCTGCCATTTGTTGTTCCCCTTCATCTGCATGATTCTTAGGGGTTCCATCTGCATTAGTTTGATCGTTAATATTAGTACCAATGCTAATAACGTGACAGGCAAGGAAACTCATCTTATATGTTAGATCACGAACACCTAAAGATCGTAGACCACTAACACCACTATTAAGACCTTCTGATGTTCTAGCTATACCTCTCATATCTCTAGAAGAGCTTGGTTTGACACCAGGAAGACCAAGTTGCGACACGTCTGGAACCACGATATCTGTACCGGTGAACTTACAACGGTCACCTGGTTTTGCTCTTTCAACACAATCACCTCTTAAGATAACATCCAATGTTCTTGGCATAGAACCATTAGGGATTTCATTAGCGTTTTCTTGGATCCTAACCCTTTGCCAATCTAAGAATTTGGATCTTGCCACATTTAGCGTCCAGAAGGCTCTATTTTCACAAGTAGGGTTTGGGCAAAATGTTGGTTCTGTAAATTTAAAGTATTGTTCGACATTATCTACTATTGCACGACATAGATCACATGTGAAACTAGCTTTGAAAAGTTCGGGACGAACTTCGGATGTCCTTGTTACTGTACCAGATATAGTTAACAATGAACCAATTTTATCAGATTTAACATCACGGATTCTATGTACCGCAGATAGGTTAAAGAAACTGATTTGAAGTAATCTTTCTGTTTGTTCAGGAGAGCTACTAATGGAAGTAGCACCGCCAGAACCTGTCGCAAGCCTAGAGTCACCATTACTATCAATAACTTGAGTATTTGGCAAAGTTGAATCATTGGTATCTTCTTCTCCCACTTCATTACCGTTTGTCCTACTAATAGAATCTCTTGTTATAAGAAGTTCAGGAGCATATTTCTTCACTACTCTCTTCAAACTAGTAATTAAAAATGGTAAAAATCTATAATATTGTTCAGATATAGCCATCGCTAAAGCCCCATTTTCCCTGGAGGCCAAATGTTGATAATCAATATAAATAGTATTTAGATCATACATCTTCATAAATTCAATCTGTGCCCTGTATACCTTATGTGGAACAGATGTTTCAGGATCTATAACAGCGAAATCTTCTAAAAATTGTTCGAATGCTTCACGAACCTTTTCACCAGTAACGTCATCTACTTTTTTGACTCTATTGACTGCTCTCCTTCTTAAACCTTGCATTGGAAGCATATCTTCATCAGTGCCCTCTGGTTGATTTTGAGAACTGAACTGAGAGGACTGATTTGCCACAGCACCTTGAGGTTGCGAGGAACTTGGAAATTGTAATCTTGAGCCAACCTGAGACTCATTTTCAAAACCAGAACTGCTACCGAATCCTGCACCTATAGAAGAAGGTGGTGCAGATGAACCATTAGGTCTTCCACTTTGGCTATTTGTTGGAAATGGAGAAGACATTGTAGTATAGAGCTATAGCAATATATTATGCTGTTATTGCAACGACGTTCAAATGTTATCACTCCTTACTGGCTAAAATAAAGCTATTTTAATTTGACAAAGCTTTTTAAATCAATAAAGGTGGTGATTCGATGTTGCTATTTCTATATAAAACGTTAAAATTATTTCTTACTAAAATTCTAAATCTATTCTTGTCAATTATTCCCAAGAGTGAGTCTCGAAAGTTTTTCGTGGATGTTGCATTTTTTTCCAGTTATATTTCCGTTTTAGGAAAACAAATTACACGCGATGAAAAATTGTATCTATTTTAATTTACATTCGGAGATTGCGTCCAGAGCACAACATGAAACTTTAATTATCAGTAATACGGCTAGGACTTTGAGATAACATCAATTTGAATCAATTGTAATACTATTTTCGTTAGGAAGATCAACTGGTTAGAGTTGTTGTTCTTTCTTAGTGGTTGTTTTATCAACTTTCCATATCTTGTACACCTTGCAATAAAATAACAACGTTTCTCAGTAAAAAAGATAATCTATATCTACTAGTGAGAAGAAATGGAAAAATAATGGTACCATTAAAGTAAAACAACCTGTAGTATATATTGACCTTAGAGAGACAAATATAAGACTTTGGGAGGAATTGCTAACCTCACTGTGAAAAAAGAAACTATTCTCTCTAGTATACAACTCCTGAAATCACTATGTACGAGGCAGTTCAATTTTTTGCCAAAAAAATGAGCGGTACGAGAATCGAACCCGTGTCCCCACCTTGGAAGGGTGGGATGATAACCACTACACTAACCGCCCGATTAGTGAAAACTTTGTTTTTGGATGATCGTTTTATAATGCAAACAAATTTGAAATTTGAAATTTGTTTTCTCAAATTACTGTCCTATAAGAACACATATTCATAATTTCATGATACAACTACAATAATATATATCTGTAGTCAGTACAATGTAATTGGGTGTGTTTCAAGAGCGTGAAAGCACCGAGATATGAGAGGGTTATTAGATTTAATGATGCCTTACTAAAATTGGGAATCTAATAGTTATTTAAGTTTACATAGTACTGTCGGGGAAGAGGGAGTGTGAAAAATATGGCACTTGAAAATATGAAATGGAGTAATTTGGACAAGCTCAGGGTGTTAACCAAGCGACTTTTTATTGAAAATAGAAAATTTAGAGATATTAAAAACCTTCAAGAGTACTGAAAAAAGTCTCTAATTGTATCCCTTCTAAATATATGTAAAAAAAAACGCCCAAGAGGTGACGATATCAGTTCATCTCTGAGTTATTTAGTTCTCTTTATACACTAAATTGCTTAGTTTGGGCATGCTTATACTTTTCTCATTTAGCCGAATGTGCATAACGGCCATATCTCAATTTTTCTTTGTCATTATAACATAGACTTATGAGCTGAAGCAGACATATTGATGTTAGATTCGGATTGGTTTTGCATATTAAATATGATGGGTAATGAAGATTATTACGGTGATAGTAGGTTGTAAAGCAAACGTACGTGTTACTTTTGTTCTAAATTTGTAAGTGATTTTTTATTTTTTATTTAATATACCGAACGAATGAATTCTAACTCAGATTGTAAGTTCAGAATGACTCGTATTTATATAGTTTTAATTTCTTTTGATTACCTTCTCATCTATTAGGTAATCTTCCTTACGTAATGGTTCATTAGTAATACGCATCTATTTTTGTATTAGTAATGTGATTACGTAATTTTCTCGTGATCTTTCCATGTTATCGGTAAAACATTCTAGATATACTCATATCATATTATTTCCGTCAACTTAATATTTCCAATACTGATGTATTCCATTATAGTTGCATTGTTAGTAATTTTAATCACTTTTTTTCTTAGGTTAGTAAAACTTTGAAAAAAACAACAAATAATCACAGCGAATAGTCACAATTTATTAAAGAATATTTATTAAGTATAAAAAACAGCAATAATAATAATTACTGAAGTCATTATTTAGTTCATAATAATACTAAACCGATATGTATACTGGGAAATCAAGTAAAATCCATTAAGGACCAAAAAAAGTATAAATTTCATTAATGTCTTTTCAAATAATAATATATTGTCCATGTTTATTTTCCAGGTTCGGTTCTCCTACATATATCTTAATGGTATTAGTCACCAAGAACCACAGTTCCAGAAAAATTGCTACTCTTACAATTTCCGGTCAATTCGTTTGCTGGGAAAGAATAACCTGCATCGATCCAATGAGTTAAGTTAGCATTTGTATATGCCAATTTGTGTGATTCAATATAGTCATATGTTGGATAATCTTCGGGGTCACAAGTGATAGATACTGCATTTGAAGGCTGATATAATCTCACATAATCCACAGACATTTGAACAGGGAAGAAAATCATTCTCCAATCGATATAAGCCCAATTATTGGATATACCTAAGTTCATAACAATTGACATTGGTTCTTTACTTATTCTTCTCCAATCAATATTCCCATTAGGGTGTAATGCGTTTGCATAAATAGTGAAAGTTGGATTATCACCAACAAACCAACGCGCGTAACCATCTTCATCATCATTCAAATATTCCAATGCAAACTTTTGATAATACCCAGCTTCTTGTCCGAATTCATACCACGTGGTGTTTAAAGTTGAAACTGCAGAAATAGCTTGCTGGAATGGACCACCAGCATATGTATTCATATTTGTGGTACTAAAATTGTAGACTTCAATAAAATCGTAATCCGGCATATACCAAATATCAAAAGGAGCAATCTGCATAGATTGTGAAGCAAGACCAACACCTAAAGTTGTGTCGACTTCACCTTCAATAATATCAATTTCTGGTGCACCTCTGCCAACACCTGGATTTGGATGTTCTTCACCATCACAAGTACACGCATTTAATCTTTGCCCTGGCAGATATGAAATACCATCAGGGGAACTTTGATTAGGTGTAATGCCTGCATCACAAGAGTCATAGGAGTAAGGCCAGACACCTTCTGTAGAAGCCAAGTAACCTGGCCTACCTAAGTTACCCATGGTCCATAAACCAGGCCATAAACCTGTAACACTACCATAGTTAGGTAGATTTGCAGATACTTCTAAAATACCTTGAGTGAAACATAGTTTGTTCCAACTCTGGACCATACCTGATCTGTAATATAAATCATGATTTCTGAATGCATCCATCCGTAAATGAAGAGTACCATTCTTTGTTGTGACTGCATCTGGATCATACCATTCCAAATCCTTGGTTGCATCATAATGAATATCCGGAGCGGTCCAAAATTGGTCATCCCCATCATAGAATGTTCTTCCTTCAGCATTAAATTCATCAGAGAAAACCAACTTCCAACTTGAACCATCTTTGGCCTTTCTTGTCTTTGCCGCTGTAGGAGTATCTGGATCAACAAGATTTGTTCTAATTGCTGCCAATGTTGGATATTTATAATTAGTTAAAATTTCCTTTGAATTTGAACTTGATGACGAAGACGAAGACGAATGACCACCTGTTCCTTCAACTGGATCCTTATGTTGTACTGCACCTGTGAACGTTAATGCTGGTAAAATGACAAAGACACAAATACCTGCGGCTAACAACACTAATATACCAATTAACCCTAAAAACGAACGAGCATTCATATTTTTAATATCATCCCACATTCTTCTTCTATCAAGTCTTGCTTCTTCTTCTGGATCTGGATTATGTATAAAATCATCATCTTCCTTTTCATCCATAGTTAATGGGAATGAACTAGCAGGGTATCCACCAAATGGAGAAAAATCTTGAGGTTGTAACAATGCAGGATTATAATTAGAAGATGAGGAAGTAGAACCATTAGTTTCATTCAAATAATTATTTATGCCAGATCCCTGAGATTCACTTATCCCATTTGTTTGTTCAGAAAATGCACCTACATTACTAGGTTTAATTACTTGTGAATTTAATCGACTATTAACTATAGGGTATCTATCATAAGGAGGAGTTGCTTGAATGAATCTATTTTCACTATTAGAACGTACAGGTGGTGGTTGCATTGTTTGCATTTGTGGAGTTTGTATAAATCTACCTGTAATATCTCTATTTTCTGGAGTTCCAATTGTTTGTGGTTTCTTTGAATAATAACCTTTATAATCTTGTTCAATATGTGCTTGTATATCTTGTGGATGAACGTATCGTATTTCTGAATTTGATTGTGATAATAACGAATCACTACTTTGTGGATTGCTACTAATATTATTATTATTATTATCTTCTTCTTCTTCTATCTCTTCAACACTACTATTACTTGCAGTAGCAAATGGATTAGTTATCCGCGGACTATGAAATTCAAATTCTTGGCTATCATTACTATCTGTAACCTCATTAGTATAGGGACTAGACGTATTACTAGAATAATTTCCCGTTAAATTTCTAAAACCCATGATATAATAATTTAAAATTCTTATTTTTATATTTATTTATTTATTTTTAGGATAAACTTACCTTTATGCGAGTTGATATTACTATTATTAATTTTTTCACTGCAGAACTAAATTTAGCAGAGAAAGGGATGTTTGAATAAAGGAATTATTAATGAAACGAGTGAAAACCAAAAATAAAACAATACTGTAACTATGACGAACAGAAAGTTAGGATGGATTTTTATATATGTTTATTCTTTCTATATGATTATTTTAAAGGATTTAAAACGTACACAAATGAAGTAACAAAAATATTTTGAGAATGGTATTTATAAATCAACTTGTAATGTTGTAAAATTATAACAATATAAAGGGAAAATTCTTTAATTAATTCTATATATATAAATATGTAGAATATTTTAATTTAATAATTACATTTAAATTGTTGTAAAATAGTTTGTTGATAATATTATTTTGGCCCCTCCTCACCCTTAGTTAAAATGACAGACATCTCTCTTTACATACATACAACCCGGTTTAGTTTAACGATAACATAACCCAAACGGGGGGAGAAACAAAGAATAAAATTTCCTAACAGATAAACGATTCTTCTAACAAATTTTCCCTCAAACAACTGAAAATAACGATAATTTAATAATGTAATTAAAGAATTGGGAAGAGAAAACAAACAAGCTTCTATGGTTTTGCTGTTTCCCCCTTTCGATTCTCGTTGCTGCCTAAAATTCTGTGGAGAGTTTTGATTTACTAACAGCTGCGATCTCGCATGTGCACAGAAATTAACGCAGGCCCAGTTTATTGTGGAATAGTGCCCCACAGGGTTTTCTAATGTTCTCTTCTTTTTGTAAATAGAGTAGTTTCCTAATTGGGAAAAGGGATTTTGTGTAGGTTGCTTTCACTGAAGGAAGTGGATGACAAACGGAATAGATTGTTAGGACTACGACCGTTTCTTTGCGAGATGAGGAAGAATACCATTTTACTTTTTTTTATAGTTGTCCCGCCCGGGCTACGTTGCCTGATTCGGCAAAGTAATATCCGCTGTAGGGACTTTCTCATCAGAAGGGTGCCGTGCGGAGTGATACGGAATATATATAATTGTTACTTTAATGGAGTTCTATTTTTTGTTTTAAAAGAAGCAACAGTTAGAAATGGCAGAAGACGGACGAAAAGGAAAATAAAAGACAAAGAGCTGCATGAATTACGTACTTAAAATATTTGTTAAACTCTATTTATAGATTAAATTACCAAAATAAGTATATAGACTCGTTTACGATCAAAATTTGACATTATATTCGGAGTTTTACTATATAAGCACATATTTTTCATATTTTAACATAACATTTTTAGATTTTTTATTTGTAATTACTGTTACTTAACAATATATATATATGCGTGTGTATGCAATGAATGAATGAATGAATGAATGGGAAATACTTTACATATCTTCAATGATCGGTTCATAACCACTATTTGATGGTTTACGTTGACTAACAGAATCATTATATCTATCAACTTCTTCATCATTTACTTCTTCTAATAATGGTGAAGAATGCTTTCTTAGTGTAGTCGAATCATTATCACTTTCACTATCTACATCCATATCATCATCACTTTCATTATCTGTATATGGAATAACTGGTGTAGCTTGTGATGCAGCTAAGAGTTGAGCAGCTTTCAATTGACGTTCTTCTTCAACAAGTTGTCTTTGGTATTGTTGTTGTTTAAGTAAAGTTTGTTCTCTCTTTAAACGCTCTGATTCTTCAATGGCTTTTTGCTTATTTAATTCAGCTATTTTTTGTTTTTTGGCTAATTCTTCTGCAACTGTCTCTAACCTTTGTCTTTCAACGGCTGCTGCACGTTGCTTTCTTGCTTCTTGTTCAGCGACAGCAGCAGCTGCACGTTGCTTTCTTGCTTCTTGTTCAGCGGCAACGGCAGCTTCATGTTGTCTTCTTGACTCTTGTTCAGCTTTTTGCTTTTCAGCCATTACTTGTTGTCTAATCATTTCTTGAACGTTCTTTCTTTGTTCTTCAACCAATTTAGTCTCATATACTTCTCTTTCCTTTTGTACAGCCAATTCATGTTCTTTTCTTAATTTTAGCTGTTCTAATTTTTTTTGTTTTTTAATTTCAATTCTTCTTGCCTTCTCCTGTTGTTCTTTCTTATTACGTTCTTCTTGATCCTTCTTCTTTTGAATCTTCTTACAATCATTTATTGAAGAACAACCAACAAGTTGATCATATTTCTTTTGTTGATTAGTTTTATTCTCCTTTAAAGCAGACTCACGTGCCCAATTAATCAATTTATCTAAACCGTCTTCATCATTTTTAGTAGCAACAAGTGAAGAGGTATTAACAACAGGTGATTTATTATCAAGAACAATTGTTATCTTTAACACAGCAAACGATTCATCTTCTAAAGTACATGTCTTTACAAATAAACCTTGTGAAACACTACCAAATGTTAAATTCTTCTCAATCGAATCCTTCTTACTGGTAATATTTAATACATAACCGTCGTGACTCAATTCTAATTCATAATCACTAAAGGATTCCTTGGCTAATTTTCTTGAGATGACACTCATATCAATTTTATTAATTTCTTCAACCATTTGTTCTTGAAGCTTAGCAGTCACATCGACATAATATTGATTACCCCAAACATCAGTGACAATACTGTATTTAGGTTTCTGAGCATACTTGTTCTTGATGTCAAGAACACGTTTTTGTAATTCTAATTTGTAAGCATTTTTATTGTTTAATGGTTTCTTTATGGTCAATAAAAGACCTTCTTCAGTAGCAACAGTACTAAATCTAACATCTTTATTGTTAGTAGTACGATTAACAACAGCTTGTTGTTGTCTTTGTGGTCTAATAGTAAATGGAATTTGACTTTGGCCAAATTGTTGACCAAAGATAGGTAGTTGTTCAAAGATACATGGACTATACATCATTGTTAAATTATTAGTCTTTGAATTTATAAGTCTATTTGTTTATCGATATTGTTGTTTATAGATAATTACTTTTCTTTTACTACTAACTACAAATGCTACATATAACATTGCAAAGAAAGCAACATTTTACAAATAACCCAATATCTATCAGGTATTTATATTATTTTAAATTGGATTATTCATTATTCATTACATGTTATATTATAACATACGTCCCCTTTTTGCCACCTTACCTAATAATGATCTTTCTAAAGTATTCTATCTTGTTCTATCAATTTATTTGACTTATTGTTCACTTTACTAACTTTCCACAATAGTTTCAGACATTTACGCCTCACTCGGGTTCACCTTACGTAAGGAAAATCACCGCGCGTTCTCTCTCTTTCTTTCTGTTTTTTTCTTTTCTTTTCGGAGACGTTCCACAGCATAGCTCTTCGCGCTTCTAGAAAATGATAGAAGGTTTACGAATTTGCTCGAACGCTGTGAAAAAAACAAAGGAGCTCTATGACGAAGTTGTTGATAGTGATACGGAGTGGGAGTGAGAAGGGACTCGGCTATATCGATGAACTGAGATACCGAGAGGGCAGTTTGTATCTGATGCTGCCATACTTTATGTGTTTAGCAATTTATTGATGATGAAACACCAGGTCACATTAATTATCGGTATCATTGCTATTCATTTTTGAGGAGTCCACTGTCTTTGTACTTATCAATAGCTTTCATCTATTCATTAATTATTAAATGCATGTATGCACACATATTTGAAACTATATATCTTTGTCTCCTACAAGTAAATACGAAATTTTTTTTTACTAAAATGGCCAGTATCACATTATTCAACCTGTGAAATAGTCCATACAGAAACAAATTGTTCCTCTCCACATCAAAAGTCTTAGTAATCCACGTAACCATTTAGGTCGTATCTTATATAGTAAAACCCCACAATTATCTCCGACTAAATCATTTCTTTCAGCATCTAGACCTACTGCTTTCTTGATCCACCTTCTAGGTGGGCAACCATGCCACATATTCCACAATTTAAAACTTTCACAAAGTGAAGTTCTCTCTAAATTCTTAAATAACGGTCCCAGAGGACCATCAATGTATCGCCATTGAACGGGACACCATTTTTGACGTGGGTCATTGCTTGGTAATTGTTTATCACCCCATCTACCAGCAAAGGATAACCAACTTGTTCCGATTTTTTCTTCTCGTTCACTCATGGGTCTCACACCATCTCCAACTATTTGATATGCATAAAAATTCATTACGGGATCCCACATTGGTCCTCTATCTGTAAAATCACTTAACGGCATAAAGAAAAATGGAACATCATGGGAATATTGCCCTACTGATGCATAATTTGCATGTGTTCCTCTTGCACTAAATATTAAAGGTCGATTTATTATTTCATTTTGGATCTTACCGTCAACCCTTCTTAATTTTTTGACTTTTTCAATGGCATCAAACTGATATGCGGTACCTCCAGAATGAGCACTCATCCATAGAAATTTAGGTTCACCCATATGGAAACGAACCAAAGAATGCTCCCAATCCCCAATATGATTACCCCAGGGTCCGTAACCCATAATATAAGGCCCCCAATTAAAAGGATAGAAATAAAACCAAAATGCGTCAACCCAACCATTACCTTTATCTGATATCAGGAGAACAGCTGGACTCTTCCTCACTAGACCCGTACCATATTCAGGACGATGACCTATTAACCAATCGGGGTTCTTCGAAAAATCCTCATTAGTAGTCATATATAAATCTGCACTATCAGTGATTTGTGAACCATCATTATTTTTTCCTATTTCATAGAGTGGCTGAAGATCTTGTAAACTAGTTAAATTGGTACGACCATTTTCAAATTCAAATACATTGCCATCTTTATCCGCTAGATGGAAATTTTTGATAAAATCTGTAATATCTGAAGGCCAGTACTTTTCTTCACTATAGAGATGCACCATTGGGCAGTTATCTATTATATATTGTGGGACCTTTTCCAAATGCTTTGAAAGACTTCTTGTTTCATCAGTAAGTTGGTCTGGTGACAATAGGGGTGGAAGTTTATTCAACTGTCGAGACACGTTGGGATCCTTTAAAAAATTTGAATCCAGGAATGGATCTGGAGGTAAGCAATATATTAATGAAGGTAATATCAACCAAATATACAGTATCATGCTTACCAGTTCTCATAAATTCTCTTTTATTAATTATATTGTGCGTGACTCCTCTCATAGGTTTTCGTATATATTTATTTATTAAACTTTTTTTTAACCTTTTTTACATCGCTTCATCAGCAGTGCCTTTGTTATGTATTAATATGCAAAATAATATGTGAATTATATAATACCGTCGAAAGAGGAATGGTGGTTCTTTTTCCAGCTTTTCAAAAATTTTGAAAGTTCCTTTATTGACAAGTGGTTCTTTTCCATTATTTCATTACAAACATCAATGGCCTTATATCTGTCATATTTTACAGTGTTTATCAGATACACATAAAATTCGACGATTTGTTTCCTTTGTTTGTATAATGATTCAAATTCAGTTCTCCATGACTTATCGTGAGTCTTATTCATGGAATGAACACACTGGTTACCCATATTTGGATTGGGTGTAAACCATTCTAATATTACATCATCTATGTCCGTTATATTCTCGTTCATAGAAAACTTTTGAGGTTGTGGTTGCGGTGTGATGCTCATTTGTTTTGGAGTGGACTGAGAATCATTTGAAGTTAAGATAGAATCTGTATTTTTAATTGTAAATTTCGAATCTTCTATTATCTTTTTGTATGGATTAGTGCGTTGTACTTTTAAAGGTTGTATATTATCTAGAGATTCATCAATATCCAAGTCTGATATTTTCCTCTTTGATATATATTTTGAAAAATCGATCTTTTGTAATTTTTTATCAATCTTTTCATCGACTAATTCTTCAACCATATACTCCAATTTGTTTTCAAAATTTGATAAATGTTGAGAGACGATTCTATCAACTTTTGATGTAACGAATTCTTCTATCATCGATTTTAACTCTTCTTGCATAGACTCTGTATCACTTGGAGGTTCATCATCACTCAAAGATGAAGTATCGGATTCTTCACTATCAGACAATAATCTGGGTTGAGGAAGTATCATGGAAGTATCATTACCACTGTCATCATTTTCATGATCATTATTATCGTCGTTGTATTGGATTAGTTGTTCATTCTTATGTTTAATTAATTCTTTTTTCAAGAAATAATCTTTGATATCTTTTGGTGTAGAATTATTAATCCTTTCAATTATTGAATCATTCAATAATGTTAATTGTTTAGATATTTCTTCCTTTGATGATCTCTTTATGGACATATTATCAAAGATCTTAGTTAAAAATGATATTAATGTTTTAAAATTGGATAATGTTTGAAATTGAACAAATTGGAAATTTTGTTTTCTGAATTCATCCAGCATATCATCATCAATCGATACAGTCGTAGTTGGCACCAACGAGGAAGACACCGACTGATTTTGTTGCTGCAAGGTGGTATCGGAGTTTTTTATCGATGGCATTTCAATTAACTGTTTGAATAATTGTTCATCATCCATATTATTTAAATTCACCAAAGGTAAAATTTTATTCGAAACATTTTTAGTTTGAAATATCGAATCATTTAAAAATGATATAATATCAGTATTTTCAAAAATTGAATGTTTGAAAAGATCATGATTTGGGAATATTTTATGAATAACTGGAAGATTTGCAACAAAGATCAATCTAATAATTTCCAAAGTTTTCAATAAATCCCTTGATACTTGCGATAATTTATTATAATTTTTCTTTTGTTTATAAAATTCAATTTCGGGGAAGAATTGAAATACAATAGATTCAGGTGGTTTCACTTGACCTCTTTCCTTAAAGAAATCATTAATATTAAAAGAATTATAAGGCTGATATGGACTTCTCATATTAAAAATAGAAGTTATATCAAATGGAATTCCATCTATAAAACTTGATTCATTTCTCATTGAATCAATTTGTTCTTGATTAAAATTTGGATATGGTAATGCAATAGTATCAAAATAATTTTTCCTTTTATAAGGTTGATTACAATATTTAAACATTGAAGTATATGCAGAATTTAAAGTTGAATCCTTTGGGTAATTTGATAATAATCTTCCATTAATAATAGCCATTGAGGAAATTAATTCTTCATTAAATAAATTTGGGAAACCATCACCTTTTGAACTATCAATAACACCATAAAATTTGAAAAATAAATAAGTTGCAATTGAGGTAAAAGGACATAATATTGGTGAATTTTGTGGTAATAAATGTTTATTTGAGTTATTTGATATTAATAATTGATATTTATTAATATCATTACATTTAAAATCATGAATTTTTAAAATCGATCTATCTAAATAATTTGAACCTAAATAAGTCATTAAATGAAAATCGACTAAAAATTTCAATTTTTCTAAAGTTGATTTAAAATGTGTTTTTTTCAAATGTGGTGTAAAAGGATTCCAAGCATTAAATGAAATAATTGATAAAGTTGGTAAATTTAAAGTTTCATCATTTAATTCGAACCAATATTTATGTAAATTAATAATTTCATCCAAATATAATGTATCAATATCATTTTGTTTATTACCATGAATTTTACAAATTTTTTGTAGGAAAAAAAAACTATTAATATATGATTTTAATAAAGGTAACAATTTATTTGAATATTTTGTTTTAGTAATAATTGTATCTAAAAGAAATTTATGAATTAAAATTGATGATAAAGGTAAAGAATCATAAGTTGTATTATTTTCACTAATATTATTTTTAATTAACCATTGAATATATTGTGTATTAAATGTTTTATATTGATGTAGCGTTCTTGTCGGTAACGATTCTGACAAAGCAGTCAACTGATCATTTTCATTTTCATTATCATTATCGTTTTCATCCATTGTATTCAGATTACTGTATATATATATACAGTTTGTTGTAAATTATTTAGTATAATTATTAATCATCATCATATAACTAAAAATTCATCAAATATATTTAATGAAAAATAAACAACATAGAGAAAATATCAATGATGTGAAAGGTATAAAAATATCAACGCGATGCAAAACGCCAAAACAAAAAAAAGACCCAGAAGACAGAAAATAAGTAAAGTACACAATAAACTAAGATTTCAAAAAAAAAAAAAAAAAACAACTACAAATGACATTGTGATTGTCGACACTAAGTATTAGAAGATGAGACATATATCACTGACACACTAGTCAGAGAATAAACAAATAGTCAATGGTGATCATAAAAACACCTTAACGCTTTTTTATTATTATTATTTTCGATCAGTAAGATCTAGTTAAAATGCCTATCATATAGTGAAATAATAATTATAACGCCCCTTCTATTTAACATTTGCTTAGAATTTATATAACAACTTGAATTCGCGTACATGTCATAAATAACTCTTCAAAAATTATTTTAAAGTATTATAAACATTAGCCTCACTACAATCAAACAAGTTAAATTTACTTTACCGACAAGTTAACTCTAGCCAATCAATACATATTATAATAATATTCACGTTACTTTAGCCAGGTTGAACTAAGAAAATAAAATAAATAACGTGAATATTATGAGCCTCACCGATTTAGGCGCGGGTGTTTCTTTCTCTTTTCTTAGAAAAGGACTCGACAAACCACAACAACATTTCTCTCAACGAAAATAATTTAATGGCTTCTCTAACATAAAGAGAGAGTCATCCTCATTCTACAGCACAAATAAACATAAATGTATTTATTAAGAGCGCTGACAAGAACTCATCGTCAAGACATCTTTTAGTAAACGATAAACGATTTTAACAAAATTTTCTTGCATACTTCACAAGTAAACTTACGTGCAGGAAGGCTTGACAGAAAAAGAAGACACTTTTCAATTAACAAACGATTAATGCGTGAATTTTACCCTTTCTTTATCTATTTATTTATTTCTTTTGGGCTTTCCATAAACATTTAATTATCTCGCATCTTTTTCCACACACAAAATTTCTTTTTCAGTTATGCGAATTGTCCGGATCCGGATATGCGCTCAACTGTTAAAGCTATCTAGTTTTCTTCTGCAATTATACACTGAGAGCTAGTCCTCAAATCAAATAGTGCTACCCTTCCATCTGTGTACATATGCAATGCGGGAATATATATTTCTCCCATAAGAAAAAAATAAATAAATAACCAAAACAAAATCCACTGACGGATGAAATAATCATGATCGTATCCGCTACAATATATTCTACGGTCAATATTCCGCAATATGCTAACGCCCTTCCTTATATTCTTCTTCTCCTTCTACTGCTTTTCCTTCTTGTATTGAAGAAAATAAACATTCTAAATCGGTTAAAATGGCTACCCTACTAAAATAGCCGTACAGCTGGATTAACAAAGAAGATTCATTCTAATTTTTTGAGTAAAATAATAACAAGACAAAAAAAATGTATATGCAATTAGTCAATCTACGGTCTCCCCATACTAATTTATTTACTGTTAACTAAAGTCTCTAAGTTGAATTTTATAGGTCTATTGTTAAGGGCAAATTAAATCACACATTAATTATTATTAAATATATTGCATTTCATACTTTTTTTGTTTTTGGTTCACAGCCTTTGGTGGTAAATGATTAAAAAACATATGGAAGTTTGATTGATAATGTAATATATCCAGTGATGGACATCCTTCCTTCGTAGTCTTCTGCCTTGTTCGTCCTGTGTTTTTTTTTTTTTATTTTTTATTTTTTTTACTTGAAAAATTATTTTTATCACGCATAACATAATAGCGATAATAATTACTATAATCATAATAAAGACAATATTTAGATAAGTTTGATATTATTTTAGTTCATATATATAAGGGGCAGATCATAGAACTTTCAATAGATTAAATCATTTTATTACTGTTATCAGTATTCATTTCGTCTTTTATTTTTGCTGTTCTATATTTTTCTTTAATCTCTTCGAGATTAATATACATCAACTATACTTTGCTGAAACATATTTTCCATAATATATTTTTTTTAAAATATTATTAATTTAATTTAATTTATTTTAATTTAATATTTTTTTAAAAAAAAACATACTTCCTTTCAATTCTCTGTTTTTCTTTTTTTTTAATTAATTTTAATTTTTTATTTCATTTTTAAAGCATAATTTACAACACATTTAATATATTAATATACCCAACACCCCTTACCAAACTTTTTTCTTCATTATAATCAAGAAATAAGAAAAATTAATAATTCAAAAAGAAAGAGAAATATTTTATTACAACAACAAAAATGAGTAGAACTTCAATCGATTCATATAGTTCGGATCAAAGTAGTCCGTCTATAAATTCATCTTTATCACAGGACCCAGAACAACAACCACAACAATATATTCCTGATTCAACACAACCACGTTCAAATTTACATTTAACACGTACTGAAACTGTAAAATCTTTACAAGAAATGGGTTTAAGTTCAAATGCAGCCGTACCTGATGTTAATGCACCACAAACAACAAAAAATGCAATTTTCCCAGAAGAATATACTTTGGAGACTCCAACAGGTTTAGTACCTGTGGCGACTCTACATTCTATTGGTCGTACTTCTTCACGTATTTCAAGAACCCGTACCAGACAAATTGATCGTGAATCTGATTCTGAATCAAAAGCTGAAGAAGAAGAAGAAGAAGAAGAAATTTCAAATGATTTAGATCCTGATATCGAATTTGTTACATTTGTTACAGGTGATCCAGAAAATCCTCATAATTGGCCAAGTTGGTTACGTTGGTTTTTCACAATCGTATTATCTGCTTTAGTCGTTTGTGTAGCTTATGGGTCTGCTTGTATTACTGGTGGTTTAGGAACTGTTGAAAAAAAATACCATGTTAGTCTTGAAGCTGCCATTTTAAGTTGTTCTTTAATGGTTATTGGGTTTTCTTTAGGTCCATTGATTTGGTCTCCAGTATCTGATTTATATGGTCGTCGTGTCGCTTATTTTGTATCTATGGGTCTTTACGTTATCTTCAACATTCCTTGTGCTTTATCTCCAAATTTAGGTGGTCTTCTAGTTTGTAGATTTCTTTGTGGTGTCTTTTCTTCATCAGCTTTATGTTTAGTTGGTGGTTCAATTGCCGATATGTTCCCAGCTTCTACTCGTGGTAAAGCTATTGCCGTATTCGCTTGGGCTCCTTATGCTGGTCCAGTTTTAGGTCCTTTAGTGAATGGTTTTATTTCTGTCTCTACAGGTAGAATGGATTTAATCTTTTGGGTTAATATGGCTTTTGCCGGTGTTATGTGGATTATTACTGCATTTATTCCTGAAACTTATGCTCCTGTTATCCTACAACGTCGTGCCAAGAAATTAAGAAAGGAAACCGGTAACCCAAAGATTATGACTGAACAAGAAGCTCAAGGTATTTCCTTGAATGAAATGATGACAGCTTGTGTCGTTAGACCTTTAGTCTTTGCCGTGACAGAACCTGTTTTAGTCGCTACATGTTTCTACGTGTGTCTAATTTATTCTCTATTATATGCATTTTTCTTTGCATTCCCTGTCGTATTTGGTGAATTATATGGTTATGAAGATAATTATGTTGGGTTAATGATGATTCCAATTTTAATTGGTGCCACTTTTGCCCTTGGATTTACTACATGGTGTGAAAGTAAATATATTAAATTAATTAGTGAACGTAGACCAACACCTGAAGATCGTTTACTTGGTGCAAAAATTGGTGCTCCTTTCGCAGCTATTGGTTTATGGTTATTAGGTGCATGTGCTGAAAAACATGTTATTTGGGTTGGTCCTGCCTCAAGTGGTATGTCCTTTGGTTTTGGTATGGTTTTAATTTATTATTCATTAAATAACTATATCATTGATTGTTACGTTCAATACGCTTCCAGTGCTTTAGCAACAAAGGTGTTCTTAAGATCCGCTGGTGGTGCTGCATTCCCATTGTTTACTACACAAATGTACCATAAATTAGGTTTACATTGGGCTTCTTGGCTATTAGCTTTTATTTGTACAGCTATGATTGCTTTACCATTTGGTTTTTCAATGTGGGGTAAAGAATTAAGACATAAACTTTCAAAGAAAGATTATTCTATTGATACTTTAGGTATTTAGAATCATAATATCATGATTACTTATATGACATTTTTTTTTCATTTCATTTCAAATTTCTTTGATTTCTGTATAAGAAAGACAGAAGCAAAGAACATGACTATTTCTGCACATCTTTTACTTAATATGTATACATTCATATATAAAAAAAAATTATGACAAATTTAAACAAAACAAATACAATAAAATATTAATACTCTCAACATTGAGACACAAAGTTCATATTACAAGTATCCATCCAATACAGATTTGACATTTGCATATAAAACTGCCAAATAAACGCTGTATTTTTGATAACTTTTTTTTTAAAAAAATACGATTCATACTTTTAGTATACACCTATATATATATACTACACTATCTATTTCATGACGATTCATTATTAATGATTACCATTATTCCTTAGAGTCATCATCCTCCTTGACAATCTTTGTTTTCACTAATAATTCTTTAATTTCTTTTGGTTTATAAATCTTTTGATATATTTCTCCAGATTCTTTATTTTTCTTAATAGTAGCAAATTCTAATCTATCATATGTTAATGAACTATTATCAGTTGTCTTTGATAATGTCTTTAAAGCTAATTCAATTGCTTCGTCTACAGTCAATTCATCTTTATAATCCATTTGTAATAAAGTTTGAGCAGCAGATGTATTTGCACCAACACTAATAGCTTTCCAACCAGTATAATTCCCTGATGGATTAGATGTATATAATTGGAAACCATACCTATCATCATATCCTGCATAAATAAACGAGACACCGAATGGTCTCAACCCACCATGCTGCGTATAACCTTGCTTTATATCACTCAATCTTCTCACTAGAATCTCCACAGGTATTTCTTCATTATAAGACTTTAAATATTCTTGAGCATGAACTCTAGCGCTATTTATTAAAATTTCTGCGTCTGCAGTTAACCCTGCAACAGCAACAGTAATTTTATCACTTAATTTATACAATTTTTCAACTGATGTATCTTGTTCTAATAAAGTACTAGTAACTTTTCTTTCTGCTGCTAGTACAATACCATCTTCAACCATGATACCAATAGCAGTACCTGCATGTGAGATAGACTCTAAAGCATATTCAACTTGATATAGACGTCCCTCTGGGGAGAAAATTGTAGTTCTTGAATCGTATCTTCTGGAACCCATTGCAATTTATTTGATATATGAACGATTGATATAATATAATTATTCTTAATTACCAGTCCGGAAATCAATTGAGTAAATATCCAAATGATAATAAAACTAAATTTTAATATTTTACTCTTTTGTTATTATTATATATCTCAAGGTTTCCAAATATTTTTAAAGGTTGTGGTAATTTCACTATTCGCCACCGGGGGAAAGATAATCTTTAAGTGTAGAGAGGATAAATAATTACTATTAAAGAACTGCACAGTAAAATTAATGTGCGGAAGGAAATTTACTTTTGTCTTCGTGGAAAGTGATATTAATATGTAGCAGACTTGATGAAAAATGTGGTTACCCGACGTCACTCTACACGACATACATGTTTTAATTAAACTAAACTGTATCTCTTTCACATCTATAAGACTTCTAGGAACGCTCATCTCACATACATCAGAGTTGCATTGATATAACTCATATATAACATAGTTACCTGCACGGTTCCAAGATGGCACTAGATCGAAGAGTTAACCCTCTCCCTCAAACACTCACCTGTTGAATGCGTGACATTTACTTCACCACGATGCATGTATAATACATGTTGACACTTTTACACCTCTACCCACCCACACCCACATAAGCATCCTTCATCGATACCGTCACGCCAAATATCAACCGTCCACCCAACTAAACTTCTCTTAACATGCACTGGTTGATGTGATGATCAGGTTCCCCCTAGCATTAACGGTTGCAGCTCATTTGTCCGCTAACAGTACAAACATATTCCAGAATATGTCACATAAAAACGAACTTCAAAGTGAGAAATCGGTCATACAAAAAAGCCGAGAGAGACAAATAAACTCAAAGGGTGCAGTATGCAAAGATAACAGAGAAAACGTACTTTCATTATTAATATACTTAAAGGGAAAGAAATCTTAAATCATATTCTTTTATTAGTAAGAAGTTTTTGAATACTGTTATAGTTTCGAATTATCCACATTATATATATATATATATAGATAGATATAAATACATTAAGAAAAAATAATCCAGAATGTTGAGAACGTCGTTTTTGAGATCAGTGTCAGCAAGACAAAGTCCTATGATATTAAAGCTAGGAACAAGGTCTATTGCTACTAGTTTTTATGATTTAAAACCTGTTGATAAAGATGGTAGAGAAGTACCATTTAGTGAGTTTAAAGATAAACCTTTGTTAATTGTGAATGTTGCTTCAAAATGTGGTTTCACTAAACAATACACAGATTTACAAAAATTGTATGATGAATATAAAAAATATGGATTCACTATTATTGGATTTCCTTGTAATCAATTTAAGAATCAAGAACCTGGTTCCGATGAAGAAATTGCACATTTTGTAGAGACTAAATATGGGATTACTTTCCCAATATTAAAGAAAATTGATGTCAATGGTCAAAATACTGATGAAGTTTACAAATTCTTAAAATCAAAGACTGAAGATCAAGGTGATATCAAATGGAATTTTGAAAAATTCTTAATTAATAAAAAAGGTGAAGTTGCTTTACGTGTTGAATCTAAAATTACACCTTTTGAATTGGAGCCCAAGTTGAAGGAGTTACTTGAAATTGATTAGGATGTTTAAGATACTTCACAAAATAACGGATTTTTTCAAAAGAGTTTTAGTTTTCGTTGTTATTACTAAACTTTTGTGTTAGTGAATGAAACAGGAAGATACTGTACCAAAATGTTTGATATATAAGCATTTTTTTTATTTTATTTAAATAAGATAATTGTAAATAGAGAAAGAAAAAAAATGGATAAAACAAATTATAACCACTACTGAATTGTTCGTTGAAATTTACTTATGTATTTATATATACGCAAGTTGTGCTCTTACCACTCATGTGGACTCATATAGCCCATGTTATCATTCTCTTCCGAAAATATCATTGATATCCCTAATGGCTTATCAGCTTCTGGCAATGGTAAGATATCGTCTGCATAATGAAGACTTTTTCTACCAATGATTGGTACTTTATGTGACAACGAATGTTTATGGAGAAACATGGTTAATGTATCAACAGCAACATTAGTCTCATAGTCGAGTCCATCACCATCACTTTTAACAGGTAATAATTTCAATAGCATATCATTGTACTTGGAAATTGGTTGTTCTTCACCTACCGTTGTATTCAATGAAATTGATCCATTGGATAAGTTACGTGAGTTTCTGTTAGTCATTGACAATTGTTCTCCATTGTTCTCCTTCTCTTCATTTTCTGTATTTTCTGTAATCTCTTCTTCGTCTTCATCTTTAACCATTGCACTCTTCAAGCTGAAAAATAATTCTTGTGCTTCTGGTATTATGCCAATCCAATTCATCAGTAATGTTTGTAATTCAAAAGTACATTCAGATTTGGTAAAATCAAATTTATTACTCTTCATTAAAGTTTGAACCATATAACAAATTAATTTAATTAATCCAATAGAATATAAAGAAACATTGTCACCTTCTTTAACAACATGATTTGAATCATCATCTAACGAGACGGCAGTCAAATTTGTCTGGTTATGACCATCCAACGTAGCAAAATGTATCGCAGCACTCGTAAAAAATTCTTGTAGCAACATTTTATTTTCAATATCAGATAATATAATATTTCCTTGTCTGGAAAATTTAAAGACATCTTGGGGGTCAGGCTTTTCTTCTTTATTTACCATTAAACTAGATAATAAAATATTTTTTTTCCCTTGTTCATCAATATTCATATCAAATTTCTGACCTCTTAATCCCATTGCTAGTTCAAAGATATAATGAATCAGCGAATGATTAATTTCAGTATGAGTTATAAACCAAATGAGTACCCTTCTATACCCACTGCACATCAACATCTCATCCATCAATCTCCACGAAAGTTGTTGGTTTTGGTACAGCATTCTTTCAAATGCAGATTCCTCGCACCAAATTTCATATATATCATCAGGTGTAACTAATCTGTAATCTTCATCTTCGGCTGATTTTCTAGTAGCGTCTAAACCTGAATTTTGAATCAATATTTGTTCTTGCTCAATTTTAACACAGGAAGCAACTGCTTCTAATAATGTCACTGCTTCCTCTTCTTTTAATTTCTCAGATGTAGCCTTTAGTATTAATTTATAGACATCTTCTAACTTAGGATTTTTTATAAATCTATAATTTGGGGAAAAATAAAAATTAAAGCCACGAGGGACATCCCTCCAGTCTTTACCACTATAGTCAAATTCGAACGAAGATTTAATCCTTGAGGCTAATTGACCATCACCGTCCTTCACACCCCCATTCCGTTGAATATCTCCGTCTTGCACACCGTGGATATCAACACCATCTACAATATTACTAGATTCTTGTGCAATCTTATCATCCTCGAAGATACAGTGGCACCTTCTTCTAATTTTCTCGTTACTTTCTTCAGTTATTCCATTTTCATCTTCTTCATACTCTATGTCATTATAATCATCATATTCATATTCAAACATATACCTGACATCTTCGTCAAACCTGTCGCCTGCCTGTAAATCAGCTAGCAATTCAGTAATATCTGTAATTCCACACCCCAATGCAAACATCGCTGCCGAATGAGTTCTTAAATCAGCCAATAAAGAACCCTGACATAATTTTCTACCATATGGTGACATGAATGTGTTAAAAGGTTCATGCTTGAAATCATGCTGATTGGCCTCGACATGCTGATTCAATATGGTCGCAACTACTACACGTAGAGCCGCCGAACCTCTTATAGTTGCCCGAACCATTAATGGGGTTTCGAAAGTTTCATGGACCTCTTCCATTCGGTCAATTTCAAGACCGAGTAATACAATGCACGACAGATTTTTCCATAATTGTATCAATGAAGAAAGAAATGGATTCATCTGGATGGGTAAATGTGAATAAAGAGAATATATCGTGTAAACGGCTAAAATGTTTATCATATATATTAACTCCAAATCCTGTGTATTTAGTCCCTTTGGTAACCACTTATGTAAATTATTTTTCCAATGTTCCTCAGAATTGGTGGTAATTGATGCTAGTCTCTCGTAATCATCACAGTTTAATCTCTTTAGTGACTGTGTTATAATCTTTTGCATATTGAAGCACACTAAGAAACGCCAATCAAACCCCTCGTCCATAGTCAGGTCATTTACGTGATAATGCTTCACAATCAAACCAATAAACATTTTATATAACAGATCTATCGATATGACCTGAGTATCATTCGGGAGCGGTTGAGTTAGAGGATCTACTAAGCCAGACATAACTTTGAATTGGGTTTGTAAAAAAGGAGAGTCAAGCGTTTCAAGTTTCAATAGATGTGAAATAATGGTATGTCTTGAAACAGTTTGATAAACCATATTAGGTATCTTCAACACTCTATTAGATGCATCAAGTTCCCAAGTAAATGAAAGTTCATCTTTGTTCGTTGGGGCTTGTATAACAGAATTTCCTATACTGTTGGAATCACTAGCGAAAGGTTGTTTCTTAAAGATCACTCCTTCTAACAATTTAGAAACATTTTCTTTATCGTTTGGATCTGAAAATGAATTTTCACCATCTATTTCATCATCATCATCTTCATCACCTCCCTTTGGCAATTTCTTAGCCACCTCATCATGAGCTAATGGCATTGTAGACAGATAAGCATAACTTATAGGTACTGAGTTATAGTAGTATTTTTCACAATCGAACGAATACCATAAATATCGATCGTTAAATTCATATGTCCTTTTATATTTTGCAACAACAAGATTCAATAAAAATGATCTTAACGCTAATTCAAGGACTGTATCTATTAATGGTTGGAAAAATATAATGAAATCCAACAGTAAATTATAGTCTTCATCTAATATAAACGAAGCCCTATTTGATGGTGAATTAATTAATGATGATAAGGATGTTTTATGCAAGCTGTTATTATATTGGGATACGTCTATAGATGTATCCTTATTTAAAATCAAAAATTTCAATAATCTAAATAAATAAATTGGTTGATTATTTGTCCAATCTTCTCTCATATTCATATAACCTCTATTATTTTCTTTATTTTTCTCTAACCATCTTTTAAGATTTATTAATGATTTCTGAAGAGGATCCTTTGGTTCACTAAAATATACTATATGATGTAATGCCTTTAAAATGGATGTACCGGATCTAGTAGTAAGAAATATAATCACTGATGATTCTATCAATATGGCTGGTATAAGCGAAGAATCGCTCAAATATTTTTCATTTAAAAATAATTTTTCTAGATTATTTAAGGATGGGATGAACTTCCAATCGGTTATCACTTCATCAATAGGATTGTAATGTCTAAATATCGAAACCTTATCAACTGAAATTCTATCCATATCATAGACATGTTCGATAGCATTCTTGTTTGCCGTCTGCTGAATGTTTGTCTTGGGTGATGATTTCTTTTTCGGTACCATAATTTTATGTAGTAGATATTATTTTAATTAAAATTTAATTATATTGTAATATTAAGTTAGGATGATATTATTTGTTCCTTCTTTTTTTTTTAATGTCTCCTCTTCTAACAGATGAGTGTTAAGTAAAAATAAAGTAAAGTTTACTTATATAAACATATATGTAAACCTACAGGTTCCTCGAAGATATTATGTTTGTTTACCGCTATCTGTAGCGATATGGAAAGGTGTAATAGTTCTTCCAAATACCCAATACAAGTAATAATTGGACTTTTTGCTTTAACTCTTCATGTGAGAAGTTCAACTTTTTTTGCATCTTTCCATCTATTATGAAAACAAAATAAATTTATTCATTCAGTAACGGAACCTTTCTTAGACATCGCGCCGACCTGCCACCACCTTTCTTCGGTTATACTATATTTGCATAAAAAATTAATAATGGGATAATATAATTTTTTACGTATTCCCTTCATGGCCAAAATAGCGACTGACAGTGATACAAAGTTCACTATACTTTCAGCATAAGATATAACGACTACATCTTGTTTGAATTAGCCTGTTGTCTTTTCTTTTAACGATTTCTTGATAGATAATACTTGACAAGTCCATTGTACGCTGCCTCATCACCTTCTCTCATTAGTATTCCAAGTTCTAGATTCAGTGGTGAATCAGCATTGGGTTCCTTCAATAATCTTTGTATGGATTGTACAGTATATAATAAGTTGTAAACTGGTGACCATTCACCTTTCAATATATCTAAACAAATTTCTCCTGTCTTATAATCGACATTCACATGTGGCACATGATTTGGTTCAAATTTTAATTGTGGTGGAGAACTAGGGTATGATTCTGGGACTGTAATGAATAATTTGAAATCATGTCCTTCAAATGGAGTATCTTTGGGTCCAACAAGAATAGCTATCCATGACGTAAGATCATCTGGTGTTTGTGGTAATAAGAGAATATCATCTTGTGACATAATAGCTTTATATTCTTTTGCCAAACGTGACATCCTTGTTGTATGTAGTAATAAAAATCTCGCCTCCTATAAATATATGAATATCTTCATGTGATCAAACCCTGATTAAGTATAGTTACACCTGCCAATTAACCCATAAAAACCAACTGTTCTTAAAAGGGTATAATGAATAAATCTAAAATTCTCTGTTTGCGTTTCCGGTTCAATACTCACTCGGTGCAAAAAATATTGAAATCCGGGGCCAAACAGAAATTCCAAAAACTTAAGCAAAGAAACAAAAATAGGGACCGCAATTTTCTTTTAACACTGAAATACCAAAAAAACCAAACTACTTGAAGGGGGAACTAACATATCAAAAGTTTCAAGTTATAAAAGTTAAGATCGCAATTCCAGACTTCTATTATAGGTATAGTTTGATTAGTAACGAGAAATAAAGCATAGGCACACACCCACACAAGATGAACGCAGCAAACGGCAGTAAAGTTGCTAATTTAATTACCAAATTAGCCATTCCAGCAGGTTTAATCCTAACAGGGATTGATTATTCCATGTATGATGTTAAAGGTGGATCTCGTGGTGTCATTTTTGATAGAATTAGTGGTGTTCAAAAACAAGTTGTTGGTGAAGGTACCCATTTTTTAATTCCATGGTTACAAAAAGCTGTAATATTTGATGTTCGTACGAAACCAAAATCGATTGCAACAAATACAGGTACAAAAGATTTACAAATGGTTTCATTAACATTAAGATTATTACATAGACCTGATGTTTTACAATTACCAAGAATCTATCAAAATCTAGGTTTAGATTATGATGAAAGAGTATTACCATCGATTGGTAATGAAGTATTAAAATCGATTGTTGCACAATTCGATGCAGCTGAATTAATTACACAAAGAGAAATTGTTTCACAAAAGATTCGTGATGAATTAGCAATGCGTGCAAATGAATTTGGTATTAAATTAGAAGATGTTTCAATTACTCATATGACCTTTGGTCAAGAATTTACAAAAGCTGTTGAACAAAAACAAATTGCACAACAAGATGCAGAAAGAGCAAAATTTTTAGTTGAAAAGGCTGAACAAGAGAGACAAGCTGCTGTTATTCGTGCAGAAGGTGAAGCAGAATCTGCTGAATGTATATCAAAAGCTTTAAGTAAAGTCGGTGATGGTTTATTATCAATTAGAAGATTAGAAGCATCAAAGGATATTGCAAAGACATTATCTAGATCTAATAATATAACATATTTACCAAGTAATAGAGGATCAGGTTCAAATGATGGTAGTGATGGTACACCAAATAGTTTACTATTAAACATTGGTCGTTAAAACAATAACAACAACTCTCTCTCTCTCTCTCTTATTATGTATATTCCCATTTAAAACTTTTTAGTATAGCGAACAAATTTTGAAAAAACAACAACAACCTTCGCCATTTATTAGAATGTATACCCTTATTTTAACTAAATATCTGTAAATAATATAGAAATAAAAAAAAGAAAAGAAAAGAAAAGAAAAGAAAAGAATATTTCAATTAATAATAAAAGTTTGTATTGTTTAAAATATGTGAATGTAGATGACTCCGTCAAATATATAGATATAGATATATGTAAGTGTATATATGAATATTTTCCAAAATATAGGATAATAATATAATGTTAGGAGATAAAAAAAAGGTCATGTCAAAATGAGATGAATAAATCTTTAAAAAAAAAATAAATTAGAAAATAATAATTAGTAAAGAATTGTGCTTGACACAAGTCGTAAGGGTTTTTTTTTTTAGTTAAAAAAAAAAAATTAATATTATTATCTCAGCTAACATTAATAAAATAAAAGGTATTATTATTAGAATTTAACGAATGAATCTAAAAGAATAAAAGGAATAAAAAAAATAGAATAAAAGACGGGGAGGAAGAAAGCAAAAGTATCAATATATTAATATATATTAATACTAGTGTAGCAGAATAAACCTAAATAAATATAGGTATATATATGTGTTTGAGTGTTTGTGTTAATGGAATGAGATGGTTTGTGTTTGGGTATAATAAATTTATATGTATATATGGCGTGTATTAATAGTCATTCAATTTTCAAAAGAGAATAATTAAACTTGAGAAATTGATGGAACACCACCCATATCAGTTGGAACACCAGCAGAAGCATTATTTCTTCTTCTTCTACCATAGAATCTTGAAGTAGCAGAAGAGAAAGCACCATTTTGCATTAAAGTAATAATTGACATTGTTAATTTAACAATGAAAATAAACATTGAGAAATATAAGAAAGCGACTAAAGCTTGAGTAATTCTACAACGATTTTCATCACCTTGAATAATTTTATTACCATTTCTGTAAGATTCATTCTTACAGGAATGAGCTCTAATACCAACAGCAATAACTGTACCTGCAGAAAAAGTGAATGCAAAATTTAAGAAATCTAAACAAACTAAAACTAATGGCCAAGTTAATGGTTCCCAGAAGTTAGCTGCTATACCATAAAATGAATCTGTTGTTAAACCAAAAGCTGCTGTAAACATACAGTAGTTAACTCTACCAGAATTTTGGTTTTGTGTATTTAATAAAGCCGAAACAAAGGCCATACATATAATTAAGAACATAGCGTTCAATATACGTAGTAAGTTATCAGTAGTACTTAACATTGAGTGTGATTGTTTGTTTGTTTGTGTGTGTTTATTAGCTTAAAATTATAGTTTTATTTTTTTAATTAGCTAAATAAAAAATTTGTTTATTTGTTTATGTTATTTTCAAAAAAAAATATATTTAAATATTTTGATTGCAATAAAATAAGTTGTTATTTATATTGTTGTAAACTCAATTGAAAGAAAAAAGACAATAGATAAATAGAACTGCAAAAAAAGGAACAGTAACAAGAAGGGAAAGAGATTAAAAAAAAAGGTTTAAGTTTAGATAACTAATCCCCCTATATATATATATACATATTATTATTAATTTATTAAGGAAATTAAGTTTACCGACCTCATCCATCCATCATGAGATATAGGTAAAAACTGTATTAGAAATTCATTCTCTCAATTAAAGAGAAGAGGGAAATAAATGAAAGAAAAACAAACAAACATTTTTGTAAGAAAAAAAACAAGGGGAGAGGATAGACATCACTATTAATTTTACTGCCAGAACTAAGGGATTAACTTCCAATTAAAGGAAATGAAAATTGTTTCAATTCTTGCAAATGGAAGCAAGTGATGAGGTCCCTTGTTTTATTCTTACCATTTTCTCTCAGTAAAGAATTGACAGAGAGAGAGAGAGAGAGAGAGAGCAATATTATTAGTATTTGTTTTTGTTTGTTTTTGCATATCGGTGATTGCCAAATATTATTTCTACCGCAAACATATATTATGTATGCATTTTTTTGTTTGGCTCCACTCCCAGAGGAGACGGAAGAGAGAGAGAGAGAGGAGAGAGATTATCATTACTATACTACTACGTAGGAAATATATTACGTACGTATGTGAAGATTTCAATGTGGCAATAGTACGGAAGAGAGAGAGAGGAGTCGGTAGTAAAAAATTACTGCATAAAGAAGTATTGAATAGTTGTGTTTTTTGTTCGTCTCTTACAGCAAGGGATGGATAAAATTACATATTTGGAAAAAAGTGTCTTGTGGTGTTGGAAGAGTAAGGGATTCTTTTCCGTTTACAATATACTGCCCTGCTTCTTCTTTTACGGGAGTTCTAAGCTTTTATTTTTTTTATTTTGGCTGAAGATGTTCCTAACCGCGGATAAAACCGAGAAAATTACTAAATAGTATACGGAAACGGGAAAAACAATAACAAACACGGATAGTAAAAAAATATGTGAGGGAACAAGAAAAATCTGCCCGATGACCTTGGAGAAAGGGGTGCAGAGACCGGCTTACACGGTCTTTTTTTTCTTCTTTCTTTCTCTTCTTCTGGCTAAATAGGGAATGTCTTTACAGCCAAGAAGATATTATTGAGATGAGACAGAAACTAAGTCAAACAATTTATCATTTTGAAGCAAATATTAATGGACATAACTGATAAGAAATGGACTCGTTCATGCGCACGTTAATAAGACAACAAGATCTATTTATGGCCATAATGTAGCCAATATATATTTTTGTTCAGCAATTGACCTTCTCAAAAAAAAATCGTTATATATATCTTGCAATTAGTATTTAATACTAATAGAAAATTGTCCCTTAAATTTGATATATATATATATATATATATATATATATATATGGTGTCCCCCATAGAGACCGTTTCTAAGACATAAGATATTCCTTCACCCCCCTATTTTTATTTAGCTTATTCCCATTCACCTTATAAAGGGGACCGACCACCAACCTTTTAACAAAGAGGCCATCACAGTTCACGACACGTTGTAGCCTTCCCCCCCCCCCCTTGATTCTCTCCGTTATTTAAAAAGGATTACGTGCTAATTGATATAAAGAAACCCTTATTTCCAATATTAATTAGCCGTACATGTTCCAACACAGAAAAATTCTCTTGTTTTTTTATCTCCGTATACAACTATTCATGCAATATCTGTCTTGCTTGTAACTATCGACGACTCACACTGTGCTCCCCTCTTGTATACGCAAAATATATACAAGAAAATTGCACATCCAGCACCCCCCAACAGATAGATACAATTTTGTTATTACTGATGGAATTCGCTTTGTCTCTCGCATACAAATTTCAATTTCAGTCAGTTTCAGTTTCAGTTTATTTTTTCAGGGGGGGGGGAGGAGAAGAGAAGCAACATAGACAACTTTTCGCTCACTTTTACTTTTCTATTTATTTACTTATTGCATTGCTTACATTATATATATACATAAATTAAATTTTATTTCTTGTTGAAAATATTTTTTTGCTGTTGTTATTGTTGTTGTACAATTAAGTTAGAGAAGTTAGATATTGTTGCTGATACAAATAATTGAAATTAGTGCAAATACCAGAAAGTATAGATATATAATGTTAAAAATTAATTCACCAAAGGCAAATGATACATTTTCTGATATTATTAGAGAAAATGAAAGAATTAAAAGGGGCTTACCCCCAACAAATACTAAAAAAAATAGTTTTGCAATGCTAAAAAATACAAAAGATTATGTATCACCATTTAGATCAGGACTTACAGGTGTTAATAAAACTCAATTACAAGCAATTAAAACACAAAGATTTCCAACAACTAGTGCAACTTCAGATTATAATAATTTAAGTACAAAAGAATTAGGTTTTAAGAATTTAAAAGATAGTGATAAAAGAATTAAAGATATCAAATTTCCACAATATTTAACAGAAAATGAAATTAGACAAGCTGGTATAATTAATGACTTAAAAGGTAAAGAAGATAGACTAAATTATTGGAATAATTCACAACAAATTATTGATTATACACAAAAATCAAAATCAAAATCAAAATCTTCTGAAAAAAATGAAATTTTACAATCAAATGAATCAACAAATAAATTTAATGAAATTAGATTAAATGATCAATTAGAAGATGCTAAAGCATTAAATTTGTCAAAAGAATCTAATATTAAAAAACCTGAAATCGAAGAAGAAGAAGAAGAAGAAGATCTTGTGGAGACGGCATCAATTCCAATGTTTACAAATATTGGGAAATTAATTCAACCAACAATAGTTACTGGTGCAGCAGCAACATCAACAGGGAATTTACCAAATAATTACGTTTGTATGGATTCATCAAATCAAAGTATAATTAATAAAAATAGTCTTGTTGATGCTACAGATTTAATTAATAGATATAAAGTTTTAAAACCACCAATGGATCCCCAATTGGCACCAAAAGTACCTTATTCAGATCCGTCAATGGCTCATAAGACTACACAAGGACAAAATGAAGCCGATCAACAAATAAATCCGATTGCTTCTCCAGATGAAAAAGAAATGATTGTGAAAATTGATAAATATGGTCATCTTTCAAAAGCTGTATATGATAAAGTGATTTATGAAGGTGATGTTCATACAAATTATTTAATTGATTTTGATGAACAACAACGTAAAAAATATAATGATAAGATTCAAAAATATGAAGATAAATTTAAGAGAATTCAACAAAAGAGAGAAATTATTCAACAAAAGATGAATCAATTAAAAATGGATACATTAGGTAAACTTGAAGTCATTGATAATAAACTAATTAAAGATATAATGGATTCTAATGCTAAATATACTGATGATAAAGCTCATATTATGAAAGAAACCGAATTAACTAAATTAAAGAAATTAAATGAATGTAAATTTTTTTATCAAAAACAAAAATTAATTCAGGGACAAATTAATGTTCTTGGTGTTGAAAGAAGTAACGTATATGATAATTTTACAGAGTTTGCCACTCATATGAATAATGTATCAGGTGAATTGGATGCAAAATTATTTAGATTAAATCAAATTAATTATCAAAGTGATCAAATTAGGAAAGAAATTGAAGGTTTGGAGCAAAAAAGAACAGTATTAGAAAAAGAGATACAGACTAATGAAACAACAAATGAAACTAATACTAAGACTCTTTCCCAATTGCAAACTGGTGAACACGAAAAGAATCAAACTTTGAATACAATTAATGATACCATTAATGATAGACTAGCATTATTAGCTATTGTTAAACAGGAATCTAAGAATGAGAATTTGAAAATTGCTCAATTAACCGATAAGATTAATCAAAAGAATAAAGAAACAGAAACTAGAATGCAAAAGGAAATTGATGACAATAAGACCAATTATGAAAACATTATTGCTAAAAACAAAACTGACCTTGAACAAAAACTAGCAGATTTGGAAGTAACACATAAAGAAAGATTAGATCAAATCACAAAGGATTATGATGAAAAGGTGGCGACATTACAAAAGAAAGTCACTCAGCAACAAGAAGAAAAAGAAGAAGCTGCCGCTGCCGCTGCAAGAGCAAAACTATCAGCTGCTCCTGAAGACAACTCTTTATATTCTTATGAGACTGAAGAAGAAATTATTTATCAATAAAAATATTCTCTCATTCTTAATAGATATTTATTGTATATTATTTAAAGACTAATATTCAACATTATTTTATAACAATATTAAATTTTAATAAAATTAATAGGAATAATCGACAATACGGGTATGTGTATGTTGCTGTGAATACGCAAACTACGAAATTATACAAACCGTACTTAAGTACATTTGTAAAAGCATTCGTTAACATCATCATTTTTTTGCCTTTCATTCACATGTTTTTGATAACATTCTTTGATATCATGAAATGGGAACGGTAAATAGACCATCTCTTCCTGTAGCCAATTATTATGCTATATGAAAAATATATATATCCAGACTCCATAATTTACTTCCCTTGAAAGATATGACAGATATCCACTGTAATTTTTTATTCTATATTTTCCTTCATCATTTACTCGTAACCCTTAAGTTCCTTCATTTTGGCGCTCCTTATTTAATTTCGAACTAAATTGTTTATTTCTATCATTGATGAATCCACCAGCAAGTTGTTCTTGACGTGCCATTTTCTTTTTTTGAACTTTATATCTGTTCTTAGCATCCGAATTCAAATGATTGACAAGTTCTTCCAATTTATCTGCTTTTTCACTCTCACGACTTTTGAATTTCTTAATATCCTTAATTTCTTTCTCATATGTCTTCTTGGCTAAAGTATCATCGGATTTATCAACTTTTTCTTTTTTAAGATTCTCAAACTCATATAGCGGTGTATTAAATACATCTGCACCAACATTATTTAGTTGACCTGTCTCAGTATCCTCATCACCCTCTTCTAAATCCTTGGCACTATAAACCAGGGGTTTTTGGTGTGTTTCGATAAGTTTTCTATCATTAATTTCTATATCCTTGCATTTTCTTCTCAGCTCTTTGAATAGCTTTCTAGACTCAGATAAATCCATCACTTCATATTACTGTTACTTCTTAACAGTTTCTCTGACCAAACCGTTCTTCATCGTATTTTCTACAGCAATTCATATAAGTTGTCAAGTAATTGTTCATTAACTAGCTAAGGTTTTCATTTGTACCCAGAATCATCTCGCACGGACATCGAAAATTTTTTTCTTGAAATTTTCAAAATTGAAAAAAAAATATCAATGCGGTTAGGTATGTGATGCTCATCTCTATTTTAATGAATATAGTATAGGAATCTTAATCTTATACATATAATTCGAATACATATTTGGAGAATTTGTTTTATTGTAAACACCTGCAACTAGTATAATATATATATATATATATTTATTAAATTGGTGGAATAACATTGTGCCAAATATTACCATGCCATCGCTTTCTCAACCTTTTACCATCACACCTATTCCAAGGCAGTCCACTCCATCACCAATCTTTATTTCCTCCCATGGACTGGTTCCAAATACGAATGAACTGGATATTGCCATTTCAAAATACTCAATATCTAAATTTTTAGTCCATCCTACTCCTAAACTTATTCATAGTACTGCCATTCCTTCTAATCAAGTCATCACCGCTTTTGACAATAGTGTTTATGGTTCATCCCAATCAAAACATTCAAACTTTCTGCATTTGAACCAAGATGTTAAACTTTCTGTTCCAACACCTGTAGTGAAATGTTTTTCTATTAAAGATAAGAATGACATCACAAATACAACCGTCATCCTAGAGGACGGGACCATTCAAAAGTACAAGGACATTGTTCTAGAGTCTACTAAGAAGATCCCATACAACGATATACTTCAAGCAGAATTCATTGAAGGCAGATATGCTTTAATAATTTCAGCTAGTATTATTACTCTTTATGATTTGAAAACAAATACAGAGTTACGCTCTAGAAACAATATTGGAACAGAAAATTCAATTTTCAAGTTATTGAAGGGTAAATTATACAAATACAATAAGAGTAATTATACCTTTGAAATATATGATGTTACCTCACTAACCCTTCTTCACTCCACAGTAATCCCATTCATTCCAGAAGGTACTAAATCTGTTACATATGCTATTGTTGGTGAGAACAGGGTTGTCTTAACAATCGATAACGTTGCATATTTGTTGGATATATATCTAGGAAGTGTAATTACCACTATAACATTCAAACATCTTAAATGGTTTAAATTACTGGAGGGTGTTGAAGGATCATTTGTTCTAGGTATTTCATGTACTTCAAATAGTGGTGAATTGAAACTGGAAATTGTTAATGTGGAATTGGGTAGTTGTAATCTAAAGGATTCCTTAGGTAAGAGTTTTAAAAATTATGTGAGAACTGGTACAAAAGATGCCACTGAAACAATCACTTTAAAACCGTTATTGTTTGGCGGTTCTGAAGATAGTAAAACAAAAAAATTGGAAACAAAACCCTTCAATTATAAGGATATTTTAATCAAATTGAACAAAAATACTAGTAATAAAGATTCATTTGATAAAGTATTTTTCAAAGAACTAGAGATTGAAAAGGAACATTACACAGAAAAGGATAGATTCATTGTAAATCAAGAATTTTTGGCCAGTGTTATAGATATAATATTAGAGAAGTTTAGTTTTGATGACTCTAACGAGTATCCAAAGGCTCTAGCATTTTTATTAACTCATCCATTATTCCCGGTCCAAAACACTAAGGGATTACTAGCAAAATTTAAAGAACAACCAACATTGTACAAACAGACGATAGTGACATGTCCAAATCTTCCATTGCCTGAACTTTTGAAAGAACTTTTCACAATTAAGAATAATGAATTATCATTAGACATATCATTAAGAATCTTGGAAGATTATACCACCGATTCTATTAAAGATGCATTGAAAAAGCTTCCTAAAGTTGAAATCGAAAATTACATAGAGTTCATAATCGATAACGATGAAGAAGGTGAAACACAACAAAATACAGACATTTCAAAGCAACTGTTTGAACTATTATCATTGATCATCGATTCTGTAGGGTTATTTGCCCTTGAAGGTAAATTACTGACAAATTTAACCCAGTTTATTAATGAAAAAGTCAAAATTGCTGAAAGAAACACTGAATTATGGTATACAATAGATTACAAAACTAAGGATTTTATCGCTGTACAACACTCTAACAACAATAATAATACCTTGAACAAGAAGAAGAAATTACCAACATACACTGTAGAATATTTAGATTTATAGATAAGTATATACGTATATCAAAAAATTCACTCTGCCTTTTATTGGAGATGGGTATGGTTATGCATAGACCGTGGTAATTTTTTTTATTCAATATCAAATTCGAATTTGTTAACATTTTTGGGGTTATTCGAAGAGTTGATTAAGATATCAGTATCTGAGGTGTGTAGAACCTTTTCTTCATATGTGACATGTTGACAATCTTTACTAACCAAAATAACGATCTGGGATCTTGTACCATAAAATTTACCTTTGGTTGAAGTTAAGCCAACATCTTCACCACCCTCGTTCCCTAATGGTGGTACAAATATTGTATCATATGTAACAGCCGGGTTCGCGTGGTATGGTCTATCTCTTATTTCCTGTGGTACAGAACATATTGACGCTAATTTGAAACATTCAGATCTTACCTGCTCATTATCACAGCTGGTCTTTGTCCTTTCGACAAGTTCTTGTAATTTTTGAAGACCTAACTTAGTCTTTGTCCATTGGTGGTTCTCATCAATATTGTAGGTGTTGTTGGATAAAACAAATGAATAAGCATCATTTTTATCCAAAACAGGGAATGTTTGTCCAAATGCATCAATTATTCTATATTCTTTCTTCTTGATGTCACCATAAAAAAAATTAAAATCACCAGATTGTGTTAAATATGGGTATTGTCTTTGAAAGTTTTCGAACGAATTCCAGTTATCAAAGTCGTCTTTCGTTGAATCAGTACTTAAGAAGGCAAATGGAATTATACCTCTTGATTTAAGACCTTTAGATGACTTATCACTTGGTGTATCGGCTGGTCTAAGGTTCAAAATATTTGCTACCCTCCCTCCCTTATTAATACCTATCCAAGTTCCAAAAATTTTAGACATCGATCCTACATTACTGTGACTCCTTGCCATATCATACGGTGATAAAATAGATGAATTTGTATGCCAGCAAGTGTTGTGGGTATCTCTTTCGAAGAATTCATCTCTGTTGGATATGAGAATCAACTCATAATTTGGATGAGACCTAGTAGCGAATAGAATGCACATTAAAATGAAGTATTGAATATTATATTGGAAGTTTTTATGATTATTTATCATATCATGATAAATACCATAACATATAATACCATTCTGTCAAAATCCAGCGTTCCAATAAAAAAAAGAGACATAAGGGGCATTTGTTTCTTGGAGTATTACAATTTTTGAGTTATTTAAATATATATTTTCCACTCGGAGTTATGTATATAGCCTTTGAAAAGATATAATTGTTCAAGGATATCAGGGTTCAGTAGGAGAGGGGGTTTCTATAACGTTGTAATAACAAAATTCTATTTAATTATATAAGTGTCATTCGTCTGCACGTGTATGGAATAACCATGATTTGCACAATGATTGGAAGTTTCATCGAGAATAACGAGGTTAAAATGATTTTATGAAAGGATGGAACGAGATAGTTACCGCATGCAATAATTACTTTGGCAATTTTTATATTTGCCTTATCCACAGATAATATATATATATATATATATAAGAAACCTTGAAAATTAATCAAACATCCTATGGAAAAACCCTTTAACACCTTTTTCTTTCTTATGTTTTTGATATTTCTCGATATCTTTACGATTTCTTTCAACAGCTGCTTCCATCTTAGCTGCTTCACTTTGTCCTTCTTCCTTTTTACTACCTTTAGAAACCCTAGTGTCCTCTCTCTTCAATGTTTCTATAGTTTTCATTTTTACTAAACCAGTATCTGTTTCGATAGCATATTCTTCTGGGAATCTAGCCTCCTCTGAAGCATGTGTAATTGGAGAATTAATATCAGGGAGACCAGCTTTGTCAAACTCTTCACCTTTTGCCCTTAATGAATCTACAGTTTCGGAGTGATCGTTAAGGGCGTTATGTGTTACTACTCTTTCTACAGCATTTGAATCTAATTTTTTCAATGTAGTATTACTTGCCTTTGAATGTACATCAGAATGATCTCGACTTCCTGTTCTATCCATATTATGAGATTCATCGGTATGTCTACTAGTTAATACGGTATCATTTCTTACCAAATCATTGTTAGTATCGTCTTTCTTAATGTCACTGTCTACACCTGTAAAAGGTTCAGGCTTGTAAGAATCTACTGAGGAGAATGAAGAAATATCATCAAATTCTGTATCAGTTTGACTGTTTACACCTTCCATTTTTAAATCTATTCAATTTTATTTTATAATTTATTGTTTTTACAGCAATGGTGATGACTGAAAAAAAATACAGGGTTCACACTTCTATTGTGGGATTAAAAAATAATGCACAGAGTGTGTTAAATCAATTATTACTATAAGCCAATTCTATGCTTGTCACGACAGGAACAAATATCAATACACTTATATATATTCTTTATACTATTGTAATGTATATAATTGAATTATCTATTTCTATCTCCTTTCCCCTGTTATTATTTCTAAATTCGCTACCCAATCCGTGTTGGGCTCACCCATTTCCTAAATCCCTCTTTGTTTTAAAACAAGATTATGCGCATACGTAACGGACGTCAGTTGTTTTGTTTCTTTCCTTGACATTCGCTTTGTGTGCAGAAGGTTAATCAGCGCTCCTTAATCTCAAATTAGCTATCGCTGCAATGGTTCAATTCTCTAGGTTACAGGTGGAAGAACACAATAGGCAACATCCCTTAGATATGATGAGAGAATGCCGCATCATGTATGAAATGAGTTTGAAAAGAACTCTATGGTTGAGAGGTGTTTCTTACAACAATAGATATTAATTGATATAAGTTGTAATGTTTACAAAAATGTGCTATAATGCTATATATATATAAGGGTAGGGATGAATGTAACTATGATCGAGTTTTAGTTCGTTTTTCTATGAGTTCAAGAACTGACTAATGCGTAACCTAGTAAGTCTTTAAATCTGGTGTCCTTGATAGTCATCATTAATAATGAAAGTTCAAGGAACAATTCAATATTTTCTTGTCTCATTCTTTGTAGTGAATCAGAATCGACCATCCAAAGAATAGAATCAGTTTCAGCTTTGATCGTCACTGGATCAGAACCAATAACTCGGGTATTGCTATTTTCATCATATTTATGTATCATCTTTCCATAGCAGGTCCGAGTAGATATAGTTTCATAGATACAACCTTGAGGAAGATTGAAACTTACTTTTAAAACACCACTCTCCACAATAAAGAAAATGTTATCACTATATGTAAGAATAGATTCTGTGGTAAATTCTTTTCTCTCAAGGTATGGGGATAATTGAGACCAGAAAGAAATTGCTTTCTCACGTTCTGCTCGATCTGGAGATATTATCTTGGGTCTATATTGTCTTAGAACAAATAGTAACAATGTTAATATTGGTTCTTCAGTTTCTGAAATATCATTTAAATTTTCTGCTAATGTGTTAGTGGTACGTTCTTCATTTCTGAAAACATCTTGTGCAACATGTAGAATTTGATAGTTTCTTGGAGTGTTTACTGGAGGAGCATAAATACGGCGACTCGATGGTTGGGTTGTACCTGCAATCGTTGACCCTTGAGCCGACTTTCTCTGTTGTTGTAATCTTGTTTTGGCTCTTTCACGTAATTCCTTATATTTAAACAAAAATTCATTTTCACACCATTCTAAAGCACTATTTAAATCATTAAAAAGCTCAACATCTCGTAACAATCCAACTTTATTAAATGCTTTGTAGATATGATCTCTGTCACATATTGAAGAAATGATTAATTGAATGCCTTTGGTCTGTGTAAATCTTTTAATTCTGTTGAAACCCTCAGCGGCCGAGTAATCGATATTATCAGCATTAATATTTTTAAAATCCAGAATTAAATATTTAATTCTTCTCTTAGAAGAATCATTATCACTAATTTCTAATAATTTATCTATTTTTTCTTCGATGGAAATAATCGTTCCAAAAAATAACATATTTTGTAATTTTAACACATATATTTGTTCACCAATACCTCTCAGGAAATTATATTGAACTTGATCTCTAGCCACAGTACTCTTGGCCACAGTTCCATCAAATTCTCCATTAACAGTTTGTAATTTCGTACTATCGACAAGGAATTTGAAACAAGCAATTAATATACCAACAACGATACCTAGTACAAAATCAAAGACACCCATAGTTAGAACTATAATAACCACGGTTAAATATTCAAACATTGTTAATTTATCCCATGTATCCCAAATAGCTTCAACTAATAGTTCGTAACCAAGTAGGAAGATTAATGATGCAACGATACAAATTGGAATGTATGAAATAATAACAGGTCCAATAATCATTACACAAATTGTTAAAAGTATCAAAATATAACCAGCAATGGCAGAATCCGCACCAGCACGAATGAACAAAACACTGTTAGTGTAAACCAGATAGTTTTGAATGGAACCAACTGCACCACTTACAAGGTTTGACCAGCCATGTGCAATTAATTCTTTGTCCACATCATATTTATCCATTTGCAATGACATGGCAAGTGCTGGGACATTGATTGGAACGTGGAGAATACCAAAAAATGTTAATGCAAGCATAGTAGGAATCTGTTTTAAGACCAGTTTCCAGTGAACTTTCGTTAAATCAAACAGCTTGTAATGATCATACCAACGTGTATCAGATGCGGCCAATGGGAAAATCCAGCCGTTATGACGCAAATTATTTAGAGATAAGTTTGGTAAGATAGCCACAATGAAATGGAACATGCAGAGTGTCATAATATAAAATGATGGTAGAACTAGAGAGTTTTTAAAATACTTTTGAGTTAAGATCAATATAACCGTTAATATCACAGGAAGGAACCATTTCCATACTGTCTCTGAATCAGTGAATAAATGCGAAAGGAAAGGAATGGAATATTCAAATTTAGCTGCACGTGTAGATACTTCTATCCCAGTTACCAGTAAGAAATAACCGACACCACCTATGCAGCCAATCAAAATGTGGCGAGGGAAAAATCCAACTATTTTACCTAACCGTAGTTTCCCAAGACTTAAAAATGTAAAACCAGTAATCAATGTACTTATACAATAACAAAATAATGTTGTAGTAATTACTTCATCTTTTTGGTTTTTAGATGGAAGTGCATTCATTATTGCAATAGCCATTGTATGGAAAAAGGGTGTAACTTCTATCATTTCACTACCGATACCACAAGGAAAACTTGACCACCCACTAGAGAATATAGTTTGTGATATGATAGTAGAAATATAAAACATTGATAACCCTGTAGGCCCTAATTGAGAGAAAACTGGTTCTGTAATTGGAAATATGATCATACCGTAAGATAATGCATCTAAAATATTTAACAGGAGTCCCAACACAGCAGCAGGCAAATATGTGATAATATCTGTAGAGCATGAAGATATTCTTTCGAAGAGGCCTACCGGACGTGGTGTCGACATGGATGATGATATTGAATTATAAGTTGTTAATGTGGCATCTCTCTGTACTTGAGAGGATTTGGAAGCTACTGGTGAAAGGAATAGCCTTGAGTACTCATCAATTCCTTCATCTGATACCTTTGATAAAGTAACTGCGGGAATATTATTTTCTATGTCTCGATCAGCTATGACTTCTTCCATTTCATTATTATTTACATTATTGTTGTTGTTATTAATAAAAACCTGGTCATGACGGTCATCCTCTCTTTCTATGTAATCGATATATTTCTTGATATTATGATCCTCAATCGATATTCTGTCGAAATCTTTTGAAATCTCAGCTGTTTCATCATGTAATCTTTTAGATTCGTATATTGGTTTATTATAGAGTGATTTGGATAATTGTCCAATATTCAGATCATTCCTCGATGATCTACTTAAAGAAGGAGATCCGGATATAAATCCATTAATATAAGATCGTCCAATATATGAACCGTCGTTATGTAGAAATGGAGCACTGTGTTTATGAGTCATATTGGGTATTTGGGAATCGGAACCATTTACCATTTCAGTAGAAGGTGATAACTCCTGATGTTGTAAGCCCAGAGACACCGATATTGATTCAGAGATCGAAGGTCTATGATTGGTATTTTTACTTGAGATGTGAATTACCATATTTTCTGTAGAAAGGTTATACTATTCATCTAATTCTTTACCGGTATTTAAGTTTTTGTTTTCTGTCCTTTATCAATAGACTTTAACAAAGCTAATAACAAATTTGCTATATATTCTTTCTTCTTGTAAATAGGAAAGAAAATATTCAACCAAATATGAAATTTGGAATATTCTTGTTATTTTTTCTTTTAATAGTAGTCTTTTAGATATGATTTAGAAAATAAAGAATTGTTAAAATTATCCCTAGTTTCAAAATGTTTTCTGGTTATATATACTTCTCAAGAAAGAAAGAAAAGGATAAATATAAAGAGAAGCTCCTTTTTCCAAATAAATGATTACAATGTATCTCTATTATATTTAAAATGAGATCATAAGTCGCCATCACCTACCTTTAAGATGGCTTATCTAACCCAAGAGATGCAATCAATGTCAATACCAAAGACCTGTTTTCTCACAGTTAAAGGACAATAATAGTAGTTTCTATTTTTTTTTTTTTTCATGACTATCTATCTCTCAGTCTTTCTCGTTGTGCGTTAATTCTGTGTAATAATATGGTGTATACATATTTCTAATAGATAGAAAGAAACTGAGATAACGAAAAACAAACCTGGAAAATGGAAAAATAGTGTTTGAAACAGGAGCAGCCACTTCTTTGACTCATAAATTATTGTTCCAATGCGATTGAATTTGATTGGAATAACCAAACACCGTTTTACACTTTCCACTAGGTGTCTGATTAGCGGTTTTGAAAGATTGTTCACTTTACATCGGCAGTACAACTACCACTCTATTCATTCTTGGGCGCACACACCAATATCGAAACAAAACATAGTATAGACCATGTTTGTTTCTCATTTATATATGTTGACAAGGTTACGGAAAAGTGAGACCTTTACAAACAGTACCAATAATAATAAGACTACATATTAAACTCAAACAAATAAAAAGAATCAGAATTTTCTAAAATAGCGTCCTTGAATCATTCATAAGAATGTAACAAGATCAATTTTCTGCGCAGGAACCGCATTCCCCATTAGAACCTCATAATATAAAAATCATGAGAAGAACTGTGAGATAAAATACGCAAATATTATCATCGTATTCTTTTTAAACTTGGAAGGTTCATGGGGACTTTGAAAATAACTAAAAAAAAAAAATCTTAAAAAGTAGAACAAAGAAATTGGTAAAGTAGAATGAAATAATATATTCTACTAGCCGAAGACTCTGCTTTATATATAATACTAGAATATAAGAGGAAAAAACTGATGAGGCGGCCAACGCGCCCCATTATCTTGAAAGTGAAAAAATCGTGTTTTTTTTTCACTTTGAATAACTATTCTGAAATTACGTTATTTATTAGGGTTTAATGTAATTTATATAGAGGTTAATAAGTGATGCGACTGAAATGAATATAATAAAGTGATAGGGGGAATTCTTGAGTTGTAAAAAACTTATTTTAAAATAGTCTTATTCTTAATATGTGTGCGATAACTCCTATTTTTGGTGGCGTGTTGTAATCTTTAAATGAATTCATTTAATTGAAAACTTGTTTCAACATTATTGAAGAATTTAACAATTCCAATTGATAAAGATAAATTAAAAACAAAAAGACTTATATAATAATGTTCTGAATGTAGTATGAATTAACCTCTTATTACTTATATGTACATAACAATACACTTGAATAAAACCCAGCACTCACGTGACTTCAAAATAAAAATTCAAAAAAGAATGGTCCCTAGCGGGATCGAACCGCTGATCTTGGCGTTATTAGCACCACGCCTTAACCAACTGGGCCAAGGGACCTTAAATTATATAAGTTGCTGTTGTATATTTTGATATATAACTTTATCAAATTTTGAAATTTGGGTGCGAAAGTTTCATTCACTACATCGAAACGACCTTAATGTATTCATTATAGTTTCTTAGGCTTGTACCTTTGATAGATTTGGTAAAATAAATGGTCCTAAGCAGTTATTCGTGATGTCGTAGTACTTAGAAACATTACATATTACTTAAGTTTAAAGAACTTCGCGCTTGAAACATTTATTGAACCACTGAAGTAACCTAAAATATGCCTAATACTCTATGAAGTTGGATTAATAACCCTATGTTTTTATAAGATACATACGTTACACATTTGTTCGAATACATAAACTATATATGTCAGAAACTAAAGGTAACTTATAGCGACACTTAGTCCGAAAATTGTCCGAAGTAATAATCACGAAGAAACGAGAATTAAATGAATCAAAATAGAGTGAAATCTCCATCTCAGATTCTCTACAATATATCATTTGCATGTCAACTTATTGCTTATTTTGTTTTTGTCGGAAAACTGGGAATTAGAGAATAATAATAGTATATATATTTACTGTAGGTCAGGACTAGGTGTCCGTTGCCAGCAGCAGAGCTCCTCCCCCTCCTATCGGAGAGAGATGTGAGAAAGTGTAATATATAATTCTATATAATTTGGAAAACGGGTTCCTTTATATACAGAAATTTTCACAGCAATATCGCATTGTACGAAGATCACTGTGTGTCACACTGTTATATAATTTCCAACAGTTTTATTATATCATGGTCTTGCTGGTATTAGAATGTGTGATTTGCTCACCGGTTCTTACTAATTTAGCCCAATGAGTATACAGTGTAATTCAGCATTTTAGTTTAATCCTTGCTTGTACTCCATCTTTGATAGGACAAACCTTTTTCAGTACACACTTTGATCTGACTGTCAAATTCCTTCACAAGTGCTAGGGGCTCGTCTTAATAAAATATTCTAACACTTCAGTTTTCTGATTCAAAAATAGTTTTGTGATTCTTTATAAATATTTTCTGAATTTGTGGTCAACTTATTATTTTCAAAAATCCAGATTATTCCATCCATTTTTGGACTTTTTCCAATTGGAAATGTTGATTTCAATAATTCTATGTTTCTTTCGATAGGTTTGAATGACAATTTATCATTGGTTCTTTGGTAAACATATCTTAGTAAAACAACCAATGGAATTAAAAAATCGTTTAACACATCTAACAGTGTAGGAATAAGCTGGAATTTATTATTACCATGTTGCATTTTTTGTACTCCATTCTTAGTCGTGAGGATATTGTGTTGTAGTTTATTTTTCAGTAGGTCTTTCCTTTTGAGAAGTCCTGTTTTGCTTAGCTTAGGTGAAGAATTCTTGTCTAAGCTTGTCTTAGTAATTTGCTCTCGAGGTACTATATTTGAAAAATCATTTATCGCTTCCTCTAACATTCCAATTGAAATACCTGTTTCATTTTTATTAAAATTATCAATAGATAGTAGTAGGAAAATAGATCCTTCTAAATATGATAGCAATTGCTTGTTAACCAAACTACTAGTTTTTAGACCATGGGCATTGTTATAACAACCCATGCATAATTTTGCATTGAACAGGCATAGTGATGCAGTAGATGCCATATCATTAGTTTGAAGGTCTAGTTTAGTTGTTTCCGGGTTAGATATTACCTGTTTTAATTTCAAAAACGAAAGAACGATGATGCTCATTTGATATAGTATTTGATATTCTTCAATACGATCGTTTATTATACTAGTAAATTCTGTTGAGATACTATTGTTTAAAAGATACATATTAAGAAATTGAAGAAGCCCAAGCCCCTTTTTTACCTGTTCTCCCGCAATCGACCATAATTTACTTTTAGAGTCATTACTTGAATATGCTCTCTTTAATAATGCTATTGCCATTTCAGAATAAAACATGGAACAATTTAAAATGGTTATTGATAATTCAGAAGAAAGAGATGGAATGAGGTTAGGATCATCCGGGATATGATTTATAATTGCACTAGCATATTCTAGGCATACTTCAGTTTGGTGAAGGAGGACATTAGATGTTTTTTCGGAAGAAGTTGTGATTGATGATATTACATTGCCTCTCAAACCCTTTAAAGACAACGGGATTGTGTGTTGTTCATCCTTTAAAGTTGGGTATGATATTAGATCTCCTTGCATAATTTCAGAATCAAAAGACTGAGGATTTTATACTATTTTTGGTATTTTTTTTTTAAAAATGTATATTGGTGAGTTCCTGGTCTTAAAATCTGTTCATGTTCAATAATTTTTCAACGGGCCAAACTTCACCCTAAATATATATATGAGATAACTATATTCATATTTCATGTTGAACCTGAAAGTAATTCTCTAGGAACAAAAATTTAATGTGAACCAAGTTTAGAGTACCATCCATTGAATTCAATTTTCAATGAATTTCAATGTTGAAATGGTGACATAATAAATAGGAACTCTATATAAAATAAATTGAGGAATAAAAATATGGAGAGCACTCTTATGTTCATTGTGGAAGTTTTATATTATATTTGTTTACAACGAATATTTGCTATATAAAAGAACTTTGTATATAATTTATTCTAAATGCATCAATTATTATTGGGGCGAGATTTAATGGTTCTCTCTGTGATTGTATTATCTAAGTCAATTAAGTTTTCATCCTTACTGAAACGTTCATAATTAGTACTATTACTATTTATCAAACCTACCGTTTCATCTGTGACTTCGTTATCATCAGAGTCCCTGTCATTATCATTCTTATTGGAAAAATCTATTAATAGTTCATCATTGGCATGTGTTCTTTGAATTCCAGTTCTTCTGGAAGGAGCACCTGAACCATCAATGAACGTGGATGTACCTAACCCTTCAGTATATGTACCATGTATGGTACCTGCTTCCATTATGTCGCTTTCTGAATTCTCACGGAAACTATCAGACTCAGTCATATAGCTATCATCATCATCTACATCGTTTACACCAAATATGTCATCAAGTATATCAATGTCTGTTTTTTCTTCTCGTTTACTATGTGTTCTCCTTGGAATAGATACAATTGGTTCGTTTTTATCATTTGGGAAAGCTAGAATTGGTGCATTTTTATTATCTTTACTATTTCTACCTGGAGAAATAACGTCAAAAGGGCCATCATGATGAAAGGATGACCCTGGGAAGCCCGATTGGTCCAATTTGTCTATTATATCCATATTTGTATCGGTATTGATGGAAAGTTTTCTGCCACTTTGTTTTCTAGATGAAGAACTTTCATTAGAATTATTATTTTCAAAAGGTTTACCTAGATCTCCATGTTTAGAGGAGCCCTCTAATTTAGAATCTGTCATAGAACTGATGAAGGAATAAATGTGATTTATCCTTTAAAATGTGTTATCAAAAAATCGTCTAATTATTTAGTTTGACTTAGTTCCTAAACGAATGAGTGATTATGAAATAACAAAGGGATGATGCAAAAGATGTCTATCGATTGGTTTAAGAAGTTTTAAAAATTGTGAGTGATCGCTTAAACCGTTTCACAACAAGAACTTAATAGAATGTGTGTAACCTTCTGTTAAAAGCATCGAGTCAAAGGAGAAGGGGTCAACTGTTGCGTTTAAACGTTGCCGCCGATTTTTCACGTACTTTTTTTTGATGTTGCACTGTTATCCATTTCCCCTTTCTAGCCTTCGTTCAATTCGGTTCCCTTTTTTTGCCTTCAAAAAAATGAGGTTGAAAAAGTTTATTGGCCTGGTCATCTATTTAGCTATCGTAATATCATGAATAATGAACTTTGTTTGAATCATTTCTATGTTACATAAAGAAGTAAGTATAATGTGTATTTAAATATTTTGTTGTGTACATGTACAAGAAGGCCACAGTTATTTCCTTCTTGATCATTTTTTTTTTTGCTTTTCTGCCAGTTCAGAAGTTATAAGGCAGGTAGTCGTTTTGGGTTACTTAAAGGTCAGAAGGTTCTTAAAATTGAACATATTGTTGATGAAATAGTTCATGACTTTTTGAATTCCCAGCAACTTTGATGTAATCTTCTTTTTTAACCTTTTCTTGGATGGTAGCGTGTAATTGAATCAAATACTTTTCATAGGATGGAATTTTGTTAATAGTTTCGTCCTCGCATAATATCTTACCCATTACTTCTTGATAATAGTTATCAACTTCTGGTCTTAATAAAACTATTGGCAAAGATTGTTTATTACAAACTTCACACCAGTATTGAATGGCATTTCTAGCTTTTTCATTAATTTGAGAGTCCATCTCAGGTAGAATACCACCATACAATGTAATATCATTGAGAGCAATAGTAGGATCAGCACCAATTAAATCTTGTAATAACATTCTATTTGTATTTTTGTTGAACATCAGGTATACTTTTTCACCATTACAAATTAAATAACAACCACCGTTAAGAAGTTGATTGAATCCATTTCTTACAGATAATTCATCAACAGATTGTGATTCAATTTGTAACATTTTATTATTGCTATCGTAGAAAGTTAAATCATTTTCCTCTAATAATGCATGCAATGGAATAAATTGTGGATATAATTTATAAGATAATCTTGAACTATTAAGCATCCCATATGTGAATAAATCATAGACTCTATCATTTCCACGCGTACTATGAGCATTTGGTTTCATAAGATCAGATTTTTCAAACGATAATAAATACATAGGTAATGTCTTAATGGCATCTGGAAGAACCAACGAATTTGGATTTCTACGACCAAGCGCAGTGTATTGAGTTAAAATCTCTGCAACCTTCTGTTCAATTGTCTTTCTAATGCCAATGTAATCACAATTTCCGAGAGTTCTGATAACATCCTTTATCATAATACGCATTAACGCATTTTGATTCATGAATTTGAATACTTCAGGCATGTTATTAGATACTGCACCTGTACAATTGATGGAACGGACTTTTCTTACACCATTTATATCTGTATATAGAATTGCAGTCTGAAAATAAGCATCTTCCTTCGCTTTCAACTTATCAGTATATTTCAATAAGACGTCCAAAACTGTATTCTTTGTTAAAATAGGGAACATTGGATCACGGTCGGAGTAATCAACGGATTTCAAATAGTATTGATCAACTGTCAACCCCGTAGAACAACGAACTTTTAACAAGGCTTGATAACCAACAATATTGGAAACATTTTCAATCATATCATTTATAATTAAATGATCATCCATTTCCTTTTGGAATTTTGGATAATATTTTAATGTACCTGCAGTCATTTCGACCGGTGTACCAACTGTTAGCATGTCGACGAATGCATCGGACGTTACGAACAGATCAACGGATATATAAGACCTTAATAGATCATCTGACAATTTTCTGTAGAAATCATTGTCACATTGTAGGTTTTGCTTCAAATTATCATCCCTTCTAACACGTAGATTACCATTACCGACTGTTGGTAACGAATTTAAGGAACAAATAATCTTACCACCTTGGTTACCTGTAATTTCGGATAAAGCAAGTTTGGCAGCTTCAATAGCAGAACCATAACAATTGTTGGGAACTGGGCCACCAATGTCGGTTCTAACAAAATTTTCAATCTTTCTTAAGGTATCGGTAATTACGTTTATGGACTCAGCAGGATCAGCGAACAGACCGTTATAGAATGGAATGAATACATCAGATAATTCTGCAACAATGTATTCTTGTGCAGCATCCAACTCTGGTCTTAAGTTATAAAATTTTAACTTGTTATCAAATGTCATAATAGCTACTTTACATTTTGGTTGATTGTCAATGATATATTCAATGGACTGTCTAATTGCCTCAATAACTGCCAGTACACTTCCATTTCCAATTGCCATTGATGTCACATCAATGACGAAAATATAATGTAATGGTAAAGATTCTTTGCCTTGAATGGCATTATATTCTGATGGGGCCAAAAAATCAACGGTACCATTACTCATTTCAGGTCTTCCTTCCAAAGATGTTGCATTACCTCCATTATTCAATCCTGGGAGTATATCCATCGGCATCTTTGATTTAACCTTACAAATGTTACATGAGAATGTTGAGTCGTATGATAATTTATAGCCCGGATTAATATAAGAACGGCAACGATGACAACGAATTGGAGCTTTCACTTTATTTTCTCCATCAATGGAGCTGATTGTAGGAATATCGGTGCCGTTTAAGGTTACCAAATCGGAAAATGGCTGTATGGTCATACCTAAAGGTAATTTTGTTGCGTGTCTCAATTGTTCATTTTCGGGGATATTTAACATTGATAAACTCATTGTTTTGGGGTTACATGATCCCTGATCAACACTATAAAAACTAGTGGTTGGTAAAGGTGGTACTGAATCATTCATTGTTTGGAAAGTTTTGGTTAAATAATTTATTTGATCTTCCCATCTCTGAGTAGGAACATAATGAGATGATGTTCCTACTGCATCACCTGCATTGGCGGGCATGGCGTTGGCTTCAAATTGATTCCCTCCTGCCATATGGTTTTGCATATTTCCATTTTGGATGCCAGTAACGGACATCGAAGGATTTACTTGTTGTGGACTAAAGGTTTGATCTTGCAAAGGCCCGGCACCACCAAATTGAGCAACGTTGTTAAATTGGGGTGTACTCGTGTTCATGTTAGGCTGAAATTGATTAACAAATTGTTGTTCATTACCTTGTGCTTGCAATCCATTGCTAAAGCTGCCGGAATTTACGTCATGGTATGCCCTCGTAGGTCTTTTATGTCTTCTGGAAGTCTTTGTTGGTTGTTGAGGTTGTTGATCCAACGACAGATTGGACATCTGCTGGTGCAGTTGGTCCTGTGACATATTGATCAATACGTTATGTTTATATAAATATTATATTGGCACGGATGGATTATTCGTTTCTAGAATACAAAGCAATAATGTAGGGAAACGAACTTAACACGTCAAACGACTAATGTCTTTTATTGATGTTTTCTATAATTGTTTCTTTGTTTTTTTCACTCAATTTTGATTTTTTGCCTCGTTCATTGTAAGCAAGCGTCGAGCGACATTGATAAATATTTATTTTTATATATTCGTCTGTTTGAGTTTCAAAAAACCGACATAAAATCAACTGAAATCCACATTAAAAAAGTTGTACCATCTATTTGCTCCATTGTATTCGTAGTTTTATTATTGTGATATTATTAAATTTATTTAAGAACAGTTGAATATAGAAGGAACATGTCGTTTTCATTACTTTGGATTACTGTACGAGTAATGAAGACACTTTTGTTCGCAGAAATTATATTCTTAGTTATTTACGTTAAATATTATAATATATATTTCTTTAAACGTAACTTCCAACTTATAGGGTTATCTATTACTTGTTTTTAAAGGGCAACATCAATGAAATGCTAGGTTGAAATTTTTTCTTTTGCCACTTTCCATTATGTTGTAAGACGCCGCATGATAGCACATATTAAAGTTATAACTAACTGGCATATTTAAAGACGTATGGTTGACGTTTTAGCAATGGAAGTATTGATTTAAATTTTAAGATTTCAGATGCTTGCTTTTCGACAGAACCCTTTCTTGAACAAATTTGAGATACAGGCCATTCTAAATTAGAAATGTCTTATCAAGTATTGCAATAAACGAAATGGTAAAGGACGAAATGAATTGTTGGAAATTATATAACAGTGTGACACACAGTGATCTTCGTATAATGCGATATTGCTGTGAAAATTTCTGTATATAAAGGAACCCGTTTTCCAAATTATATAGAATTATATATTACACTTTCTCACATCTCTCTCCGATAGGAGGGGGAGGAGCTCTGCTGCTGGCAACGGACACCTAGTCCTGACCTACAGTAAATATATATACTATTATTATTCTCTAATTCCCAGTTTTCCG